TTATTATATATCAAGTGTCAAAGTTCACTTTTCCTAGTATCTTATTGGTCGAGAGTGTACCACGTGAAAGTCACAAAATTTTACTGTTTCCCGGCAACTGTCCACCAGCGGTCAATAATATGTTGTGGACCGTCAATAAGTACAAAATCGCAGAAAAACACTCTTCAGTGTCGTGAAAATGCCACATTTACGGACGGTGAATTCCAAAATTGTTTTGAAACATTTAATTTCGTCTACAAATAGTTATTGTATTCATTGTGTTATTACATTGATTGATTTTAGTGACATTTGACTATTTGTATTGCCATTTTTCAGTCATTTTATCAAAATCTTTAATAAAAACACTTCATTTATTTACGTTTTTTGCTCTCTTTGACACTTGATATGATAATAAAGCACTTATTTACTGGAAACCTCGGGAAACAGCATGTTTTGTGGTCCCGAGACCGCTGATGTTTCTCTCAGCTTCGCTTCGGGAAACATCAGCGGTCTCGTGTTAACAGTCTCGGGACCACAAAACATACTGTTTCCCTCGGTTCCAGTAAATAAGTGTTAAATAATCCTCACCTCCACGAAGATGCAGCTGTGCAGATGGCCGTTGTGTGGTTGTTCATTTGCTCTTGTAAGGTGGAAATCTGATTTCTAAACAAATTAATGCCAAAATTTAAAAACGAAACTAACTGATGGAAGTGTTTTCAAGGCGAGGACTCATGCAACTTTTGGAAAGCGACTCTACTCTCATAAAGCTAATCTCCTATTTCATGCCATGTTAGATCTCCCTTGGGCATGCTTCTTTACATCAACGAAAAAGGGGAAACTGCAAAATGTTGGAGCTATATTAAAATGAGTCTTTTTTCGAGTGCTTATTCAAGATTTGGATTTGAAGGCAGGGCTCCTGTTGTTACTTGCCTCAATGATGACATGCATTCCCGTAGACTATTCAGAGAACTGAAACAGAATAATTTTGAGAATCGTCGTCATCATCATCATCATCATCATTATTATCATCATCAATCTAATGTAGTTTTGAGTTTACTACCAACAGGAAATAAACAGAGCTGACCTACAGTCTGATGTACCGGCATTTATGCGCTTTCGGGAGCGTTTTATGCATTGGACAATGCAATAAGGCCACAGAACGCGTGTGGGGGCAGAGTTTGACAAATACCTTTTAAATTCTGCATTATCCTGACTGGTTGTTTCTAAAGTGACCGTGGTAACAAATGACGCTTCATCGTCACTCTTGACAAATTCTTGCAATTCCTTCATGTCGAGTGAATTCAAAATGGCGGACTTTAGGTAACGGAGTTGCTGTGATGCAGCAAATAAGTCCTGTTTGGTGATTTGTGTCTCCTGTCTAGCGCTTATTAACTCATCTCTTGACGTGAAATACTTTTCTTGGTTTTCACACTTTGATTTTCTAGCAATAGAAACTTCTCTCCGTAAATACGCGGCTTCGCTTTTTACTACTTGAATCGCAGTTTTCAATGTCTCAATCTCGCTTTGATGCCTCTCGTCAGAAAGTCTTAGCTGCTCCTTGGCGTACTCCAACTCTTTGCTTCGCTGGTTTAATTTCCATTCAATTGCTTGTGTAAGGTCGTTTTGAATTTTTTCACGTTCTTTTAGAATTTGATTTTCATTTTCTAGTGTTTGAGCAATCGCTTGAGAACTCTTTACGTCCCTTCGAAGTTCTTGCTGAATCTTTTCTTTGTCTTTAAGTTCTTGTACACTTTTTTCGCACTTTGAACTTGCATTTTCAAGGTCAACATAAGCTTTCGTTAGCTTCTTAAGAGTATTTTCCGCTTCTTGTTCATTTGTGTTCAATTTAATTTTAAGTTGCGAAGTTTGTTTTCTCTCTGACCCCAAACAAAGTCGAAGATCATCGATTCTTTCAGACTGTGTTTTCAAAGTTGACTCGAGCTGTATAAGTTTGCTTTGAGCTTCTTTTCTTTGTGTTTCTTTCTCAAGTGTGACATCTTCTAGTTTCGTCTGCAACTTGGAAATTTTTAACTCTCGACTAGCGGACAATTCCTCTACATTAGAGCAATGCTCTCTCAACGCTTTTTGACTTGTTCGTAAGCCAGCTAGTCTCCCCTTTTCTCTTTCCAGCTCAACAGAAAGCAAGAGGAGTTTCTCTAATTCGCGTTTTTTATCTTCTATTGCGATTTTTGCCACGCGTAGTTCACTTTCAAGAGTGTGTATTCGATTCTGCTGCATTGCTGCCGCATTTTTGGCCCGCTCTTCTAATTCTGTGCATTTGATTGTCAAGAATTGTTTTTCTTGATTCAATGCTGAAATTTCTTGTTTCCTTTCTGTTTTCTCTCTTTCAAGTTTTTCAGAAGCTGCGCTCACCAAATCTTCGAATCGCTTTCTTACATCAACTTTCTCTTGCTCCATCGTTTCTTCAATTTCAGTTAACTTTTTCTCAAGAGCCGCGACCTCATTCTTATGTTGCTTGCGTTTCTGAGCCAATTGTCCTTTCATAAACTCTATCTCTTGCTTTAGATTTATAGCCTCGTCCCTATGTCGAGTCGCTTCGTACTGGAAGGCGGATTTCACTTGGTTCATTTCGTGTTTCAAAGATTCGTGTTCTACTTGTTTGGTAGTTGTGTAGTCCTCTAAAGCTCGCTTGGTTGATTCCAGTTCGCCCTCTAGCTTTGCTTTCTCAGAGCATGAGTCATAGTATTTCTTCTCCACATGTGACAAGTCACTGAAAGAATGTAAATCACATAGTTGAGATACGTGCTGCCTGTTTTTTGGGTGTAATTTAGAGTAAATGATCTATGAGTATCTTGATAATTGCCTGTTTTTGGGTGTCATTTAGAGTAAATGATCTATGAGTGTCTTGATAATCAATTTGTTTCACCAAAGAAGCCGAATACTGTATATTGTATCAATTGGCAGTCTGTTTTTCAGTATTTCTGGCTTTTTGTGCTGATACTGAAAACAGGATGCGCAGGAGACGAAGTAAATGGCTATTTTAGCTATATCCAGACATAACGAGTCTTTCTTTCTTTTTTCATGTATTTTTGTGTGTGAACTGGCATGGTTGATTGTTTTGCTCGTTATTGGTTATTACTTGCATGACTATTAGTGCAACTGATTATCGTGCTGGCTTAATGTGAGTAATTACCAAATTGGCAGATGATTGATTAATTGATTTTTTATTTTCAATGTAGTAATGGACTCCTTGGTGAAATCATGATCCGGACTGCGGTGAATAACTGTGTATGTGAATCATGATCGTCGAAAAAATTGAAAATTAAAAAATTAAAAATTGAAGCAATGTACTTCTGATTGAAGTCGACTATGTTGGCAAGGCTTTGATGATTTCATTGCGTGAACCCATTCGTAGTGCACAGGCCGCAGAGGTTATGGTTCGATTCCCGTATCTAAGTTTAGTTAGTTAGCTGTAACTGGGTAGAAATTAATAGATAATTTGAGTCAAATCACTCCGACTAATTTTAGGCTAACGCACTGACCTGTTTGAAGCTTGAAGTTGCTCGTGCAGAGTATCCTTTTCTTTGCGAGTTTCATGAAATTCCAGTTGTGTTCTTTTCAAATGTTCACTTAGAACACAAGCTTCTGCATGGACCTTCGCCTTGTCACTTTGAAGCTCGTGTATGGTCTCGTCTCTCTGTCGAATAGTGTCTCTCAACTCCTCCATTAAAGATTTATGCTGCTCTAACTCGTCCCGAAGTACTCGTAACTCGTTGATGAATCCGTCTTTTTGCTTTGTTACTTCTTTTAGCTGGTTGGCTTTTAAAGCGAGTTCTCTTTTCATGATTTTAAAACGCCGTTCTACTTTATCCAACTCAAGTCTAAGCATTTGAACCGCGTTGTCCAGGGCATCTTTTTCTTCTTGAGCTTCACATATTTGACGAGTAAGAGCTTCATTGTTGATCTCTAGTTCTTTGATTGTTGCTTGTTGAGTCTCTTTTTCTTCTGCTAAACTTTTTAGCTTCTTTTCATTCTCCAGGAGTTTGCAATTCAAGATTTGAATGTTCTTCTCGCAAACATCATTAACGTTTCTTGTATATGATAACTGTTGACTTATTTCATCTTTTTCTTTCTTAAGATCAACCAACAAAGTTTCTTTTGATTGAGCGTCAGTTCGTAATGCCTGAAGTTCTTGCTCTAGTATTTGCGCTGATTTGACTAAGTTCTGCAGCAAGCCATTTTCATTTTCAAGAGATTTAATTTTCACTCCCAGCTCTCTTTGAATAGTGGTTTTCTCCGACTGCATATTCCTTAAGGCAATATCTTGACTTACAAGATCGCTTTCGACTTTTTCTAAATGTTCTAATATCATTGCTTTTTCTGAAATTGCCTTTTCTTGAGTTTCTGCCAGAGTTTTAGATACTCTAGCATTCTCACATTTTAGAAATTCGACTTGCCTATTCTGCGTAAGAATAGTTGCATCGTAATCATTCAATTGTAACTGAAGATTAACCTGAACTTCTTTGGATTTCTCCAGTTGTTTTATCAGCCACGACTTTGCATTCACGAGTGTCGAAACATCAGAAGAAAGAACTGTCTTCTCTTTGACAGATTCTTCATAATGGAGTCTCGTTTCTTCAAGGGCTGACTTTAGCGTGAGTAATTCTTTCTCCAGCGCTTCAACACCACTAGATTTCTCAAAAACCTCGCCTTCTAAAACCTGGAGTTTTTGCTGGAGATTTTGAATGCAAAGTTGCGAAGACTTGAGTTTTTCTTCGGCATCACTGACTTGCAGGGTTTTGTCATCATTGAGGAGATGCAGGTTTGCTATAGTCCGCTCGAGATTGACTTTCTTCCCTCGAAGATTGTCTAATTCAAGTTGAACATCTTTATTTTGATATTGGTTCCAATTACCTCTATCTGTTGTTTGGTTTTCGTTAATTTTAAGCTTATCTTGTAACTCTTTCTTTTCTTCTAAAACCTTGGTGTATTCAGAAGTGAGAGTTTCGAGTTTTCCTTCCATATTGACCAACACAAGTTGCAAATTACTGTCTTCTGGGACCGTTTTACTTGGAGTATCTATGCTTGTGCCACGATTGTAGGTGTTTGTATGTTCATTATTTCTCACAGAGTCAGTTCGCACAGGTGAACTAGTATCAACAAATAGCGCTGGGTCTGATGGGATACCTGAAACTGTATGGTGCTGTTCTCTGACTTCAGGCCCTAATGGAAATAAATTGGGAAAGATTATCATAACCTCGCACCAAAATAGAAGTACTATCCATAAATATGTAAAGAAGAAATGACATAAAAACGTAAACAAACAAAAAAACAAATGAAGAATAAAAAGATATAAGAAGAACACTTATATGTCAAAAGCAGTCGATACAGGAGACCGTAGTCTTCGTAACAACTCTCACCACCACGTTTCGTTGTTGCATGCTTCGTTGATGTTAGGTACTCGTCATAGGTTTTAGCCTTGACTCCATCCACTTTATCTTGTCGCACCACCTTCTCGTCTCTTCCCAATTCATCACATTCGCTTGCAATGCTATCATTTTCAGGATATTCAATCTGAATCCCTGAATCACTGAAACTGGTAGAAAGAAGTTGTGCTTCACTGGGATCATAAGGAATTTGTGGCACTCCTACAAAAAAAACATTATAAATTAAGGCTTGTATAATATCTATTTCATGGATTCTTTTGACTTCATTGTACTATAATGGCATTACAAGTGAAAAGAAAGTAGGCAAAGCATTCTGATCTTAGTATTCTATGTGACGCCATATTGAAAATGCTGCAAACATTTGAACTGAAATTCTGACCGTTAAACTAAAATTATCAAATATCAATATATAGAGCATATCCAAAGCTAAACAATACTTAATTATATTTATTTATTCTGAATGATTGAGTAAAGCTTATGAAACTTCCCATGATCCACCCAATGTTATATATGCTAGCGGTCAGGATTTTTTCAAATGACTGCATGACATGATAGGCACACGGTGAATAGATATTAATTAAACAGTAATATATATATTGCAGCCAGGCGTTTTCACCTTCACTGTTGCCAAACGTTTCACCAGTAGACTTAGAATAATGAAGTGAAGAAACTGCAGATTTGTTGACCATCTCTGGATCACAACTATTATGGTCTGTTTTAATAGTTGTCAAGGATGGTGCATGATTCTCGCATTTAGGTACATCATTGATCAAAACAGTCTCTTTGTAACGGTACAAAATTCGAGGTTCAACAAAATCGTCGCTTAAATGAGACCCATCAAATGATGTACTGATATCATCAAAACCTGTCTGTAGTTTTGCAATTTCACAAGAAGGTGTTTGTTCAGTTGATGTTATATGGAGCCCATCATGTTGATTCATAGTGATGACGTCCCCTGGTTCTTTCTCAAGCACGTCAGGTTTCCTATCTGAGTACAGATCAAGGACAATATTTCTCAGGTCTTTCTCATACTGACTAGGATTGCATGACAAAAGTGTTGGTATTTTCTCAAAATCGGTATATTCAAGCTCGTTGTCATAGTTATTCATTTCCTCATAGTATTGCAGGCTCATTCGATGACGTGGTAGTCCAGCTTTCAGGGTGTTCAGGATGATATCCATGGAAACGACATGACGCTGGAATACACAAAAGAATATCAAGGTTCTATATCCCTGAGATCCGCACGTCTCCCCTCCCCTCCCCTGTTATAAATTATTTGCTTATGGTGGATTTGTCGTAAATTTGGGTTAACATCACAAAAACAAATACCACACTTGGAAAAACGATATCAAAATAAAGACATCAAATTCTTAAATGATGAAACCGAAGAGCTACGCCATGAACAGTTTTTGAAGCTATTCAATGATCACTTTTAATAGTCTCCTTCGCAGCCTTCCCTTTCGTCGGGCTTCCTGTCTCTCCCAATAACTCGATCACCACTATGCATTAAGTTCATTAAAATATTCAGTATTTCAGGGATATGAATCTAGATATTTCTAGTCTTGTCTAGTATCTAAGCATTACAGATTTTGAAAGAAAGTGATTACAGTATTACGGACGTCCTTGGATGATCAGATTGCACGTCGTGGATTAATGTCGCCATATACAAAATAAATATATGACTTTATTACGCCTTTTGTTCTCAATATCTCTTATATTTTCTCTTATTAATGAGTTCATTATTACATACATGTTCCTCATTTGACGTATAGTTGTTGTTGTCCAACATACGAAACATAGAAACAACAATTATACCATGGGGTATAAGAGTACTAGAGACATTTTCTAAGAAGGTATTCAAAATGAATAGCTTTACCTACGGTTTGAAAAATCTTCAGCCACAAGATGTTTTCAAAGTCAAAGCGATCAAATATTGGAAGATGTAGTTCTAAAAGACGCGTTTGACAGAGCGACGCTGAACGCTGAATTTGATACGCACAGCGAGATGAGTTCACATGAAATATGATATCCAAACATTGCTAGAATGTTCGTTATAAGCCCCTACTCCCACCGGAGGTGAATCACATGTATACTAGTCGAGAATTATGAACCTTAAATGATGAAAACTATTAAATCTTTAGATAAATTCGCCCTCCTGACTCATAAAGCTATTAAATGTAACATGAACATCTAACTTCGTAAACCTCGGAAGACTGCTCATTTTGGATAACGAAAACAGAATTGTAAGATGAGTACCTGATCGGAGAACAAGAAGACGTCTTGAGTTTCTTCTTTGAGGCCAAATTATCCCTGAATGACGTGAGGAGGAGAGATGTTAAGGAAAGGAAAAAGATAGAGGTTGTTTACGGAAGTTGCGTCGGACAACATCGGCGAAAAAAGGGAGGGAGGGGAGTGGGAGAAATATGGGACACGCAATATTCAGTATTGCAAACCGATTCTTTAATTCCATACAAATCATATAATACAGGTCATTATAACTACAAAACGTTAGTCTAGTTTTGTTAGGATTACAACTATCTACAGTAAATCAAATGTCTAAGATAAAATGAGCTAAAATATCTAGTTTTGTCAATATAATCTTTTGTATCAATTCTGGGATACCTGTTGTAACTAAAGTATAGCTAAAAAATTTATTAGTGTGAATATGAGAAACAACATATAGCGAGGGAATTGTGCCATAAATGCATTTAAAGGTAGAGATGCTTGTCATAAAATGGCGAGTGAAAATGACCCCTAAAAGGAGGTAGGTACCCTTGTGGAAACAGGAGTGGACGTTTATACCTTACAGAAAGGTGTCTTTTAAAAAAGAGTAAAAATAGTTCATTACATGTAAATTTACATGACATATAAGCAATATGATGCAGAAATTCAATTATTCCTAGTTTACACATCCACTTCTTATCCAGTACTCCTAACAGATCACTGTCAATGACGTGAAATGTGACAAATGTCTCTACCCTCTATTACGTGTGTCTCCCTGAGTATCATATATTATCTATGCATACTTTGTACAGAAAACACAAAATGAAAGCGATAATCATATCTAGAAATGAGTACACTTGACTATTTCTTTTCGCTCAAGGAGTTAAGTGCAAAAAGAAATTAGTTTCTCTTCGAACGCTTTTCTCTTTAGGAATCATAATACGATTAATCATGTTTCATCATGCATGTTTTCTGCTTAAAAAAGTTGCATATATCTTGTATGTGTCTATATATAAATTTTTATTGAAATGTTTCAAGGACGTCATAATACCATCTTTTCTAAATACGTAACACTGTATATTTCACTTTTCCTTACATGTCATTCTGGCCCCTAAAAAGAGTCTGCACTATATTGCCTGTCAGTGACAGGCTCTTGGTCTCTATCGACAAATCGATAAACATTTTGAATTTCAACAGTAATATGTAATTCTAGAAAAACAATGAGTAGTTTTAGTAAATGCAATGATGGATATCAGTTCGTAAATATTTTGTCAGTAATTAGAGATTTATTTCTGGAGCTGGATGCACATTCAATTGAAATCTTTGCACATTCACAGCAGGCAATATGGCAGATTCTAAGTCAAAGAGTGGAAATCACTATTTAGGAAACAGTAATAACGTAAATCATTAATATTGATGGGCATTATTGTTAGACTTCAGTCACTCAAACTAAAATGAAACACATTCTTTCTTAATAATTGACACTGTAACAGCCAATCAAATATCATCTCACTGTTATGTTCCTGAAAGTTTTTAGAGATGTTAAAAAATGTCCTAAATTATACCTAGAAATTTTGAAAATTAAAAATCTGTCAGCTGTGCTAAAATGAAGCAAGCAGGTATTTGCTTCAAATTCAAGAAAAAATGTTTTTCTACTCATAAAGATATGGATGTATTTTTGCCTTAGCTTTATAATCCCACCAAGAATTCTTGCGCAAACCCATCTAAAATATTCACCATGCAAAATTCTAACTTGAATTCCACAATCGGCAGAACATGTCTTTTCATAAATGGAGTTTCTTTTTTCACTCTTTGATTGACAGATACAGGATCACATGACCTGACACAGTGTATATAGATGCATATTTCAAATCATACTTTAGATGCTGTCATTGGCAACAGCTTATCTTTTTCCTTGAGCCATTATCTAGGGTGACATCTCCTTTACCTAAACACAGAAGAATTTTCAAAAAAATGTCAATCTCAGAGAGCTCAGTGTAATGGGTTGTTATTTAATAAAAGATCTGCTCTTATCTAAAGTAAACAAAAAATACAAAGAAATACAAGAAAATTTTGTGTATGGCAGTATGCAAGGAAACACACTAGTTGTAACTTGATGTGAATTCCAAGAGGATTCATCAATCAGTAAAGAGAACAAGTAGGAACACGTTCTTCTAGACTTTGTTCTTTGGACTGAGGGATAGGTTGCTGTGAAGTTAATGTGGTGGTTATCATATTATAGTAAGTAATCACATACAAAAATAGATGATTACAAAAAGGTCATAGTTATAACAATAAAGAACAAGAACAAACCTTGGCCAGGTACTTTGTTTAAACGCATGAAATCTTCTGCAATTTTTTCAAAGACTTTGTCTGTGCAAACAGTAAAAAAAAGTTAAAATTGATGGACAGTCATCTACTGAGAAATATCATAATAACATGATATCTCAATAACATGAGACAATATTCATCCTAGTAAGAAAACTGAGTAGATGTTAGAGTTATTGCAGTTTTGAGAGTGTGATGGAATTTTTATTTTTTAAAAGAACGCCTGAATACAAGAGCCTTGCACGACTTTCTCACATACAAAAAAACAACACCTCTGGTTTTGAACCAATCAGAAAGTAAACCTCAAGAACAGATGGAATACAAAAGGCTCTCAGATGTACACGCCTAACAGTAGAGCAAAAACAGCAACAATCCAACTAATCCCAAATAATGCTGCCTAAACCAATGATTTTTTGAAATCTTCTTGAACTTCGAGAGGGGGGTTTGAAATAGTTTATGAGGAATTATTCAAAATTATTTCGAAACACAAATACAAACAGGTTTTCAAGGTTGTTGCTGGGATTCATTACAGCAAATTTCTTTAAAATAAGTTTCAATTTGACAACTAAAAATACAAGATTTTGCAAATGACTTACCAACATTAGTGCCTCTCTTACTTGATGTTTCAAAGACATCTGCACCAATATCTACAGACACAAAATAAATGAATAGGATTATAAACATTTCTAGAGTGGTTGAATAAAGAATATAATGTTGTTATAGTTGTCTGCAGAAAATGAATCTACCAAAAAACAAATAGTTGTCAAGGGACGCAGTTCAAGGGCGACTATGAAGTTTTTTGGAACATCCAGTTTTCAAAGGCAACTATTACAGCATAATGCAGAGATTTTGACTGCTTTGTTGTATTTATTATTGTTGGATACTTCTTCATGTTACACCATGCTCATATTATACAACTGTTCAAAAAAATATTTATACTTATTCATAATGATTCTAGATTACAATATAGCAAAGATTTACCTCTACCATAGTTGGAAACAGCCCTTGTTAAAACCTCTCTGGGTGATACAGCTTCTTCTATCAAGTCTAATTTAGTTCCACAGAGATATATTCTACACTCCTGAAATGTATCAAAGAAAAATATATTTGTACGATACATGTACAAGGGTCAGCAGTAGTATATTTGTACGATACATGTACAAGGGTCAGCAGTAGTAATGTATATAATATACGAGTTCCTAATCACTTACAATATTTTGCTTGTATGATACATGTACAAGGGTCAGCAGTAGTAATGTATATATACTCCTAATCACTTACAATATTTTGCTTGTACGATACGTGTACATGGATCAGCAGTAGTAATGTATAATTATATAATATACTCCTAATCACTTACAATATTTTGCTTGTATGATACATGTACAAGGGTCAGCAGTAGTAATGTATCCTATTCACTTACTGGTTCAGCATCCTTCAGTTGATCCACCCAAAACTTAGCTTTTGTAAAACTCCCATCATCTGTGAGATCTACAGAAAAAGTTGATTTTCTTAATATTGAAACACAATACTCAAATAATATTCCCTGCAAAAAAAATTAAAACAGAAACCTGCAAAAAAATTAAAACAGAAATCCTGAGTGAGTTTCTTTAGTTTTGCTTACTTTAAACCAACAATGTTAGATTTGTTAGAGTGGTTTTCATAAACCTGTAAAAATATACTTCATCATACTTTTCATTATTTTGCATGACTTTTTTGTATTTTCAGTGCATCACACATAAATTACACTTTGACTATCAAATCTATCACACAATTAGACATAATTTAAGGTTTTGGTGTAGATTTTTCCAAACCCAAATCATGTTTGTGTAAACCATGCAAATTTGCAAAAGCTTGCGCGATTTATTACAACCATTTCAAACATGCTCAAACGTTTAGTGGAAATGACTTTGATTATCACTTGAACTTTGTATGTATGTGAAATCCTATGAATTTGCCGACATTGCAGCTCATGTCTTACAACAAAATTGCTAGTAAACAGTTCATAACAATTAGACCACAAGATCAAGTGAACTACAAGTTGATAGTTTAAGTATCCACCAAATGACACCACAAATTTGAAAAATGATTATCAAGAACCACTCTTGATATTTTTTTTGGTTCATGTGATGTTACCATGGTTTATAATGAATATAAATATATAGATTTGTGATGGCCCATATTTTGGTGGATAATAATACACTTGGCACATAAAAACCACACTAGCAATAAAAACACAAACTAATGAGTCTCACCATAACATATAATGGCTGCTCTTGCACTTCTATAATACATGGCACTCATTGCTTGATAACGCTCTGCACCAGCTGTATCCTAAAACACAAAAACGTAACTCAACTTTCCACTCTACTTGAAACAAGGTGTCAAAGAAATTATCTGCAAGAACTTCAAACTACACATAACTACAAGTGATAGCTATGACGAGCACACTATTGCATTTATTCAAGAGCCCTATACTATTCATGTTAGTTCCTGAGATCACATCTAAAGTGATATTAACTCAAAACTTTATAATTATATTAATAAAAGACTTCTCATTTTTGTTATTGTTCAAGGGACCTATATGTGTATTTGCTTACAGGGATCTATGACCCTAATGCAAATGTACTGGGCATGAATCTTATGATAACGGTAGCCTGAATGAAGTGTTCAATAATACATTTGGATGTATAAATGCAGGAATCTTTTTCTTTTGAATTGATAGTAATTTTACCCATATTGCTAAGGAAAGATTTCTTCCTTGGATGTACAAATCTTTTCTGCAAAATGCTGCTCCAATGGTCTGTAAAAAGAAAAACAAATACATTTTTCAAGTTAAAACAATTGTAAACAGAAAATTATACATTTGTACACATACTAGTATTTATCTAAAATCACACTTATTTCATTATTTCATTAATATACAACTGAATGAAAAAACGTTCTTATATAAAAAAGAAAATTATTGTACTTTAATAAAAAGTTAACTTATATAAATAAAAAATGTCAAAAGGAGATATTTCAGGCTGAAGACGTTCTTTTGTCTATTGTAATGTATTCCTTTTATTAAATGCAAATCAAATGTTTGATAGTTCTCTATATTTTATTTTGTCAAATTAAATGTTGAAGTATCACAGCTGGGTTGGTAGTCATACATCGCTAAATTCGCAATATATTTATCACATAATATGAAATGAGCAACAGTATGGCAACACACAATGGCCGGCTATCAAAACGAACAGGTATTGATAGACAATGACATCATACCCAACGCGGAACAACAACTAGAACAATGCCCAATAATTAATTCAATCAGTTCCCCTGACGAGAAATATAAACTATACAGCTAGCTTTGCACCTTCATGGTGCATTTTCAGCAGTCGAATCAAATAGTGCTAAATTCTCGAACACCGAACATGACGCCCAGATTTACGTGCAGTCTAACGTGTCTTCTAATTCTTACATCGTAATATTAAATAAACAATTCTCTCCACAAAATATAACATTTTTTAGAGGCTGCAAACATAATCAGAGTTAAATAAAATCAGTAGTTCAGTATGGAATCTCGTCGAATCCAAAGAAAGCATATCGAATTTGTTGTCCATTTTCTTAAGTTAGAAAAAAATGCACTTAAAGTGATCGGAAGTGAGAATTATAAAAAATAAATAAATATGCATTGAGGCGTATTTCCTACACCATTGCAAGACGTACGCACTAGTTTAAAACAAAAGAAACACTATAAAGTAAATGAAAAAGAGCAAAGGATAAAATGTCTAGGAAGTGCCGTACGTACCGAGGGAGTTTCTTCGCTAAAAGCTCTTGTTATGTAGCGCGTTACCAAGCAAGTCTTGCCGCTGTTAACTTTGCCCAAGAGGACGACTTTCAGGTAGGTTTTCTCTTGCATTACATGGATGAATAAACAAACACTACAAAAAACCCAAATCTAACAAACCGTTCCTTATTTGAAGCACCATTTAAAAGAAGTAACTATCGAGATGGCTTAGACTCCGTTCGGCCGCCATGATTAGTTACAGTCCTGCTGATTGCCGCTGATACATGGCGGGCTCAAATTCTCACCTACTCTTGAGAGACTATTTACTCGTGCCCTATTAACATTCAAGTACAGAATATTGTCCACGAGTATAGTAAAACTAACTCTGGCTAACCACATACATAAGAAGTAAAGACGAGGCTTAAGGAAAACAATAAAATTATCCACTGTATCCCTGGAGCCTCGTCTTCAGTTTAATACATCAATTAATGGACAATTCACTCAGATTAACTGTGGAAAAAGAAGTTTCAATCGACTTGCTCAATTTTTCTCAGTACCCGACATGATGCGTGCGACGCGTGCGTTTGTGGGAAGTATATCCAGAGCCGGTCAGTTATTTTTTCACGTTAATCAAAAAATGTACGCTCCTTTGAATGACGCCGAGAAATACATTTTATTTGGCTGTTCGGTATTCAGAATGAGACTTGACTGTCCTGGACTCGTTGTAATTAAGTTGCAATTTTTGGCATTTACAAAAATAAGAGATACTGGATGGTTTTGGGAAGCTCTAAATCCCCATACATTCTCTGTCATTTTTTCAGGATTTCTATTAAATGTCTCTTTGTAATTACTAATATTCACTATCTGAATACGCTCAAACCAGAAGTACATAATCAGTTCTTCTGACTCAAACTCAGCTACTGAGCTTCGATGCAAAGGCACGGCTACCTTTCAAGATGGCGAAGGTATCCGTGAAGGAGACTATTCTTGTCATGGGATCGGTTTCTTGATTGCTGCAAACGGCATATTAAAAGATTTGGTTTCGGCAAAAGCGGCCTTTCTTTAAATTCTGGGGAGTCCAATTAAATTGTATGTTCAGGAATGTGTTAGTCAGCCGTTCTTAGTGGCGGGCTCCCTGTCCCCCGCCCCCTAGGAATGTGTAGGTATAGAATATTTCTATTAGTAGGGCGCTCTAAGGGCAATCTCAGGTAGAATGTATTTGCGAAATCATTACATTGCATAGCATAAGAGAAGGTTTAGCAAGTACAAGGGTTTGATGTTCACAATTTCAACTAAAAACTTAAGGAACATCTATTTCATAACCTGCTTGTTTGTCATTCTACGAATCCCTACTCGTATGGTTATTGCAGTTTTGTCATATGTACGGTCAGTTTATTTTAGCAAAGTGCTCCTCACATAAATGGTTAATAAATATTTGATATACATAACGAATCGATACGATGCGTGTAGATAGCTATATTTGGGTGTTTTAAGGATGCAGTTCACGTTGAGCATATGTATAATGTGACTTTTTAGACTACTTAAAAGTAGTGTCAAGTGCATTGTCTATAGCAACTCGGCGAAGCATCTGACAACAGTCATATTTTGCTCATAAACTGAGCTCATTCAATTGTCAACCCCTGATTGATAGCAGGTTGTTGATTCAGCATTTAAACAAAGTCTGCAACCTCACCAATAAATTGATGGACAGTTAGAATGGAGTGCAAACCAGCTGGATAAAGTTCCCTAAATTGCTGCGTCTCGTGTAATATTGAGACAGCAAGATTGTCAAAGTGTCTGGCTCAACTCATCACGATATCGGCGGACGGACGGCCCCTAGGCGGACTGTAAGCCATTAAGACATGGGAATCTTTACTAGTTTGACTGGCTGATTATCAGCCCCATGGCCTGGTAAAATAAAACGTAACAAGAACCATGAATAGCAAAAGTAGAAAATATGCCATGACTTTATCTTTAGGTTCGCCTTGATATTGAGATGACAGTGGGTAGAACAGTTCTTCTTTACACACATCTTGATAGCAGATTCCTGACTGATCCTGAGATCTGAAAGAGAACACGATTAACTTAACATATATCCACTGATAACTATAGAGTGTAGCAAACGGCCAACTCGAGAGTGATGGCATATTCAGCTCTCGTCTACAGTGGTAAATTTTCGTTTCTCAGTTCTTCTTTGTCCTCAAGGGTATAAAAGATAATGTAAAAAAAGCTAAAAAATGCATTGTATTGGACAAAAACTGGGAATCGGCAAGATAAACACCTTCCGCCTGCTGTATTCCATCCTCCAAAATATTCAGGAAACTTTAATCTTATCAACGACAATTTTTTTACAGCAGTTTTACCTTTTCACTTTAACTTGTGGAGTGGAGGGCACGTCGATGAATATCACTTCAGTTTCTAATGAGAAGTACATCTGTCTTGGGTTATAACTGCTAGTCTGTTCGCTCTTATTAGTGGTTGTGTTATTATTTACTACAGACGATCCATTTATAGAAGCGTTAACAGTTACCGAAACAGTTGGCGTGACAGTCGCACTGACCGTGGCAGAAGGTGCGATATTGCTTGTTGAAGTTGTTAAGCAGCCCAGACCATAACCGCTGACACAATGGTACTGCCATGTTGTATACTTGTAGCTGAGGATAAATAAAGATTGAATATCCATCAATACCCACATTGCAATTCGCCCGTGCAATCTTAGATCATTATGTCATGCTTTATTCAAAGGGCTAGATACCTCATTTTCAATCCAACTATCTCCATCTGTGGAACCCCTTTATACCGACCGGCTTCTGACACAAGAACTTCGTACACCAAGCCATAAGGAATCTCAAGACATGTTCCAACACGAAAACTCTCTGACGATGGCTCTTTTACATTTTCTCTGCACATACATAATAATCATGATTAATCCAAATAGATAGAGGTCCTCCGTCCCCATGTAGAGGGAACAGGCGGGCACAATAACTGACAGGGGTGTATAAATAAGACGAGCGCACGTGAGATGAATTCAATCAGTCAAGATTTCAAGCCTTGTCGATAAGGGACTCGTAGAATCTATATTTCTATATGGTTAAAAAAATATTTCAATCGTCCTCGTCATCCCAGTAGCCAGTAAATAAGTACAGGTCCAACATCTGCTTACTACGAGAATTCGTATTATAATAAACATGTATTCATAAGGTTATCCAGCTAATCATACCTAATCACAGGAACCCAATCATCATCAATAGTAGCACGTGCATTACCCGTGCGTCCCACGTGCGTGAATTTCAACATCTCTTTCTGATTAGCTTGAACCAATTCCCTGACACGTGAGCAGTTGCGCATATCATCAATACCAAGTTTAATGGCACAGCCACTAGATGACGTCTCGCCGAAACTGATTGGTGTTAATGAAGACGAAGTACAAAGACTATTGTCACTGAGGGACATGATGGGAAGACTTGTCAGAATGGAATTCTAGTGAACAAGAAAAACTTACAATAATGAATCTTATTTTGGCCAACTCATTGACCGTTATCTTTCTTATAACAATGACAATGATAGAGTCGCTATGTAAAAAAAATTGACAGCGCTAAAATTTGCAGCTTTTCCACAGTATATTATAACATAAGTTTTCAGTAAAATCATGTGACTGAAGCAATTGTTCCCTACATTTTTGCTGGTAGCCGTGCCTTTGCATCGAAGTGAGACGACCGTGCACTTGTAGATACCTGTAGCTAAATTATTCTCTTTAGGTGTGAATGACAGTTTCTATCATTGCACGCTCAACTACTGTCTCGTTTCGATGCAAAGGCATCTTTCAAGAATGCACAGGGTACCATGAAGGAGGATAATTCAAATGTTTACTTACATTTGATGATCTGGTAAGAGCCAAGACAGGCAATCCTCGAATGTATCCTGGATTACCTGAACGACTAACAATAGTACTATTGGAACTGTTAGATGCACCTACAAATTTTGTCTGGAAGTACTGGGTAACAGTATTGACGGGAGATTCTGATGTAGCAAGACTCGAGTAAGACTGGACCTGAAGTTTTACATTACCAAGGATAACCACTGCTTTAACTTTATTAACCTTCTGACCAGACGTTTCAAATTGATACGTCACATTAAGCACAACATTAGTGCATGTCTGAGATGTCTGGTTCAAAACCGGAAGTGGAGGCGCCGTTTTACCATCATCAAAAGCACATCGCCATGGAGATGATTTTCCCAAGTTGTCCGCTGTACAAAAGTACTGCACTTCAACATCGGCAAGGTCAGGCTGTTCATTTTGGTTCTGACTGAGCGTGCCACCTCTTAGTACTGCCGCTGGCACAGGGCATGGTGGATTAGCAAGATCTCGTGGCATTATATAACTCGATGCACTTAGGATTGACGTTTCAGTACACAAGGACTCCACAACCTCTGAAACACACGTCGACACAGAATTTTCTAGAAAGCGCACTGACACAGTTTGTGCGCAGAGACCGCTGAATACTTGACTTGGAAGAATCAAGGTCCCCAAGGTTGCTGATAAATACTTATTGTCGTTGCTATTGGCAGCGGTCTTGACACTAGTGCCCAGTTTATACACACCGTCGGTAGAGCTCTGGGATTGGGTAACTGACTGATACGAAAACCTGGAAGATAAGCGATTGGTAGAAACCATTATTGACACTCTATAAATCTTTTCTTAAAAAAACATTGCCATTCTCACAGAAGTGGAAAAAAAAGCAACATATTCAAGAAATAAATAAAAAATGGTTTTCAAGGCCATCAATGAGGACTTGACGGACGATTCAATAGTCTCCTTCACGGTTCCCTGCGCCATCTTGAAAGGTAGCCGTGCCTTTGCATCGAAACGAGACGACCGTTGAGCTTGCAATGACAGAAACCTTTTTTCACGCCTACAGACAATGGTCAACGGTCGTCTCGCTTCGATGCAAAGGCACGGCTACCTTTCAAGATGGCGAAGGTAGCCGTGAAGGAGACTATTCCGTTGAGAACCGTGACCAAGTAATAAGTAGTCACAAAAACAATATCGTTCAATAATCAACATTGTTATCTTATAATTTATTTCTTCGGCATTTACTGAGTTTGCTAGTCAGTAATATTTCAATCAGTCAGTCAGTCATTTCCCTTACCTATTCTGCTGAGATGCCGATTGCAGTAACGCTTTATACTCTGGTATATCCTTAGCTGACTGAGGTGAGGTGTAATTGTACCAGTATCCAGTAAATGGACTACTGCTACTAGTAACACATAATATTGGATGTAAATCAGTGGCGTCAGGCCATGTAGCTTGGCAGCTAAACTCAAAGGGTCTCTCTACGCTGTCACCACCAAAAAACCCTCTCATACAAGTAAAGGCGGAGCTCTCACTGGTCGTGCAATCCTACTGACAAATAAGACATTAGTGTATGCAGCAGGTAGACGCCAATAGAGCCAGTAAAACCTCAAATAATTGTTACAATGATACAAAGTAAAGATAGATATATGTAGGCCATCATAAAAGTCATAATTACTAGTAATATTGAGGCATATAAATGTCTCCTCGCTACTCCTACGCCCTCTTTAATCTCACTCGAATTAACATTAAGGCTTATAAAGTGAAATCCTCCTGGTCTATAATGAGTTGCGAACATATTTCAAACCCTCACGATGGATCATGGTCAACGGAGTAAAGTACCTTATCACAGCAGCAAGTAGTATCACATTGTCCTTCCTTGAGATTACAGGGACACGTCAGGTCGATATCAAGGGGTGATGTACTTGTGGTCGTACCTGGAACATGACATATATTTTTCAAGTACTGGGATATTGAAACATAGATATATGTAGGGGAATTCGAAGCATTTTCTTAAAATATCTGGCATTCAAAGTAAAACCAACAATATTAACAAATGACTACTATCTATTTTATTCTGTACTTCGCAAAAACTGGACTTGTCAATGTTGACCTGATTTAAATCATGACGCAGCACTCTAATTGCCGGTTCCGAAATTCAAAAAGGGACTGGAGACTAGTCTTTCAAAAAAAAAAAAAAAATACACAAAAAATAATTAAATTTTCAAAAAAGCAGAAAAAAACGCTATGGCACTCCTAGGCCACCATACTAGTCACAAACTCAATACCGTTTGAAGCAATCAAAAAAACAGACACCAGGACAAGAAAGAGCATACTAAAATTAGTATAGTTGCTGAGTTTGAGAGTATTCGATTTAATAATTAGAGTTTCAAGCGTTTAAAACTCGAAAAAAACTACAAAGAATGTATGAAGCTCTTGAGCAGCGTCCCCAAAAGTATACATTGTCTCTTATTTTTACAAATTTGAAAAAATTCCTACACGGTGAGTATTTAACCAAATACGTTCAAACTTGACAAGAACACTAATTGTAGTGTGGTCTTTCATGTGGTGAGGTTCAGCTTTCGATGAATGGGCTATTTTCACAATCGTTCCCAGTCTCCTTTTGAATTTCAGAATGGCCAATTTGGGAAGCTTGCACTTGACAAAATCGAATTGTTAATGACGCATTCTCCCCATGATAAATTCAGTGCCTGTTGCGAAACAAAGTGATGCGTATCCTTTCTTGGTAATCGATCAAATAACGTACGCCCCTTTCGAAGATCAATAGGGAATGTATAAAAGCTGCTTGCAGGACAATTAAGGTCGGAATTTTCTCTTTTCTCAAATGAGTTGCACAACTCGATTTCTGGAAAAACTGAAACTCTGTTCTTCCTTTCATTTTAACAGTGGTTAAAAATGGTATTTCAATCAACTGTTAATTATTCGGAGATTAATTCGACCAAGGACAAACGCTATGTCTACATGCAATATGATGAAAGAGCGAAGATTGCTGTCGTAACCATGGAGGGTGCGTTTTGCATTCTGGGAATAGTATCCAACATTATCGCACTTTATCTCGTCCGCAAGAGGCTTGCTTTGGCAAGAAAACTTCCAATGCATCGAGTTCGAAATCAATGTACAATTGTTCAAAGTTTAGTGCTGTCCGATTTGGTAGCTCTTACAGTTTGCTACCCTATTCTCATTATAGGTATTTTTGTTAAGACCTTCAAGGACGATTGGTCGTGTAAACTATTGCGTTCCTTCACTCTGTTTGGTCCTTCCATTATTGCAAATCACTTCTATATCATGGCAGTAGAAAAATATATGTCAGTCTTTTACCCTCATGAAGACCTGTCGAGGCGAACAATAAAAGCAATGCTAGCTGTAGCATGGATTTTGGCTGGACTTAGATCGTTAGGATTGGCATTTGTATTTTCATATCAAGTTTATTTAGTCGATGGTGATGATACATTTGGATGTAGAATGAATCAAGATGCTACATCGATAATATGGATTTCAACAGACTTAATTGTAATGTTCTTAATTCCAAACACTGCTATACTGTTAACAAGCATTAAAACACTTAGATTTTTAAGCAAAAATATGTTTAACATGCACGGCCAACACAAGAAAGCCAATAGATGCTTTACAATAATGATCATCTTATCCACGGTGCCATATTGTACACTCGTCATAGTTTTTTTTGGAATTATGTTTTTTAAATCGCCCTATGCATCCACAGTTCTCTTTATTATTACCAGAATATTTTTCGTACTTCCTTCTTATTTCAATGCTGTTTTACTTCCGACTTTTGTTATATGTTGTGAAAGGAATAGACGTATTGCTGTGAATGTGGCCAAATAAACGATTATTGAACAACAAACGAAGAAATGACTTCAGAAAAACAAAAATATAATCACAATAAAACAAAACAACTAATAAAAGTTGTCAATTGTCTAATTAACAAAACTAGTATAGAGACCAACGGAGCTTCTTGCGTTCCCCGTACACCAAAACACATCAATAAATATAATAAATTTTATGCGAAAAATCCTGTTTTCTGTGAGAAATACTGTAGAACGTGAGAGCAACAGCTAAAATGCTCATCTCTAATTGATCGTTTTCAACTATTCCCTATTGTTAGAGGAATGAACAATAATACTAATAATCCTTTGTTGCAGTTCCTCCAAAATGGACACTGTAGCGAATAGTGAAAACAAAGAATAATAGACTAGGAATCAACGGAAATTAGTCGAAAATCCTTACAAAACTTCAGTCCGATGATAGGCAGCTGTTTTATTAAAATAGTTTGCATTCATTGTAATTGATCAATATCTCTTCATACAAGGAACAAATTCACTAATATATCAAATGTAATCTTATGTTCGATCATAGCGAGATATGGAGTCAGGATTTCTGGGAAATTAAATGCTAAATGAAAAAGCTGAAAACGAATAATCGTTCTTAGCGAACGTTATTTCTTTCCCTCATGAGAGCGTATAAACTGAAGGCGTGTCCCGGAGATAACGGCCATTTCAAAACACCTAGAAACGCCTACACAAATTAGCCCGGTGTTGTAAATTTTTCTAAGCATTTGTTCTCGAATTTTTACTTATGAAAGAGTATGGTTCCGCGTTTGATTGAGCAAAAGCTTAGTATAAAACAAACACTACTTCAGTCTTTTTTAAAATTTTTTAGTAAAAGAAGAGAAGGCATTTGAAAAAAACCAAAGCGAACCTTGAGACACGTTTTAACGTCWCCCTATAGGGTGTAGCAGTCCCCCGGTACAAAATTCTCCTGTGTACTTGATGTAATATTTCAAAAAATGAATTTGAATGTTTGGAAAAAAGGAGACGAGTTTAAGTGAAATTGCTTCTCAAAGGTAATCAATGGGGAAACTCATAGAAAAAGGTTTCCACAATTCTATCCAAGTTATAAACTACATATCCAAACCAATCGTCCACTTTTAATATTCTAGTTGAATGGCATGCACAAAGAACAGAGGCAGGGCTACGGGGAAATAAAATGGTTATTCATTGTTTCTCTGGAGCCTTGTCTTTTAGCTCCTCTGTGCGCGTGGTTAGTCAACCGGAATATCGAAAGTCGGCTGTTCACGGTTGTGATTTTTTTCCTCATTATTTACTGATTAATTCAATCGATAAGATTACCTAAAACACTGACAGGAAGATATCTGTGTAAATCAACAAAGATATACATAGCAACTGACGGTGGTTTATAAACAGCTGTAGCCTTTGGACAGCACGATAGTTGAACCAAGTCAGATAGTCTTGTTGAAGGTGTACCATCAATAGAAATCACAAGCGTTTTAGAGACTTCTGACTTCTACAAAGGAAAGATATATTACATAGATTGATAAAGTTTCTACCAGAAGACCGTGTGCAAAAAGAACTGTGAAGAATCTATTGATTATCATACAGCAAGTCATCTATGACAACAACATCAACACAATCGCCAGTTATAGGTGAGCAAAAATCAAGAAGCGGGAAATGGACTGCCATGAACAAGTGAACAATTGAAGTGAACATTTGAAAAAAAACTGAAATTAAAAAGAGAAACGACAAAAACATACAAACATCTGCACACATTCTACATAAATTATGCACTAGTCAATTGAACCCCCCCCCTCCCCCCCGGGTATACCGGGGAATTTAAAGTTTGTGTGGTGTTAAAATAAGGCATTTCCCCCGGTAGTCGGTGTACATTCATTGTTAAAATCCCTGCTACTGTTGCCCCGTTATTTTGGTCTAGTAGTAAATAACAAAACAAAAACCTTTCAATCAAATTTTCTGTGATACAGAGGGTGAATTTTTGTATAATCCTGTGTACTCATTTTCGTACTACATGAGGCTAACTGGACGGAGAAAAACATGTGTAATACGTTTCTTAAAAAAAAAAAACATGCAAGGTAAAATAAACAAATAAAAAAGCGGGATTGAATACCAATGCCTTCAGGGTATTTCTTAAGATGGCCGACCTCTAGTTTCCAGCCTTATACATGTTCAAACACGCGTTAAAATCCCTGCTCTTTGACCCATTTCGAAAGCAATTTATCAAAATCCCGACCCCACGGGGCAAGCTTGCTGTTAAAAGCACGTTAAAAACGCGTCACGTCCCCGTTCAGTGCCCCGCTAGCCCCGGGGGGGTGGGGAGCGGGGGTTTCAATTGACTAGTGCATTACATCACAGTATAGGTCGAAAATGTGGGCTGGCCAAAGAAGAACGTTTTCCATCAAAGATGACTGGCTCTCACAAGGAATAAAACGTTTCATTTGCATATACTATTAAATATACTATATAATATACTATTAAAATTCTTTTAATTATTGAAATCCCTTACCTTGAACTGTATCTCTGTCTGTGCAAGCTGTAGTTGGACAGAGGTCAAGGTGATTTTGCCAATAGGTTCATCAGGACAGCCAATTGCTGATGTGTTGACTTGACCAGCAGCAAGTAATATCAGAGAGCACTCTATGTCTAGTGGGACTGTTAAGGGTGTGTTAAGTGACAGSATAACAGAGTACCCACCATGTATGGACACTGATGACGGATGGAACTGTAGAGCCAGTGTGTTCAAGATAAAGTTTACAGGACGTCCTGAAAATATACATGTCATTTACAATCAAAAATAAAGGAAAAAGAAGACAGCCTTACAAGTTTACATTTTTACTATAAGTGCATTCAAGAAAGAGGTGGAAAGGAAGGAAGAAAATAATTTTTGTAAAGAGTGGAATGAAGACATATTCAAAAGAAATGACAAAAGAATACAACAAAGGTCAAAGATCAAAACACCTGTAAAAGTGCATAGAAAAAAGCCTTATAATGAATAAATCACTCAAATACCTTCTGAAGTCTCTAGTAAATACTGAAAATACTGCACCCCATTGGTTGAGGTTTGAAATCTAGTGATGTTAAGCACTGATGGAGGAGATGGTGTAGGTACAGTAATGGGTCTTTGTGTTGTAATATTTGATGTAGTATTTGTGGGAGGAGGTGTGGTTACTGGTGTTGTTGTTGGTGTAGCTGTACCACCACAAATAAACCATGAAGATAGCAATGTAACATTGTACGTCTGTGCTTTGCAGACAACTTGCACTGACTGTGTTTTTGTTCCCTTTGATAACACTGTAAATGGTACCTTAAAAAAACATGTCATTGTAAACAAAAAATAGACAATAAATAAATGACATCAACTGATTTATCATCATCATAATCATCAACGTATCACATGACCTTACACAATGGCCATGCCATATCAAGCAATTTTTTACCTTTGCAGTATTCTGTCCACTTTTAACAATTGTTGCCTCAAATTGAAACCTTGGTCCATCTACACACACAATAGAGGTGCTCAATTGATTTATTGTTTTAAATAATAAAGCTCAAGTAGTAATATTACAACAATAGCTAATTATTGACTCACCATTGTCATTGACTGTTGAGCAGTTTACAACAGCTGGAAAAACTCCACTAACTGCCTCACTAAAATAAAACATTTCAATAAAGAAAATGCAAGAATCTTTAGTGATAGTAATGCAGCAAAGTTAAAGAAATCAAAACCCCCTGTTTGTTTAAAATACATATTCTTAAATCATTTGACTAACTTAATGTTAACATTGTACCTTAATTGGACTTGTACTGTCAGACAGCCAGTCTCAGTAGTTACAAACACAGGGTTATCACAGATTGTAACAATAGGTGCACTAGTTGCTTGAAGACGTCTATCAAAAWATCATTATGTTGTACAATTATGTCAGTATCATTCAGGCACTTATAAATTAAAGCATTGGAAGTGTTTTTGGATTTTTGTTTCCTTGAGATTTTTGTTTGCAGAAATTGTACTTTGGTTAATTGTGTTTTGTAGCCAAACATCACTTGAAAGGCCTTGCAAGATTTTACATATATGAAAAACTCTTTGTGTTTTCCGTGTAAAACTTACCCTGTGGTTCCTTTAGAAGATGAAAACCTGAACTGTGTATGATTATTTTCACTTTGAGCAGAACACTGAACTGTTGCTGGCTGACCTGATGATATTATCCTTTGAAAATATTTTTTTACAATATTATTCATAATTATAATTCATTGGTGGAGTGCTGACCATGCGATGCAATAGTGCACACTGCGTAGAGCTACTAGCAGTGCATTAAGCCCACCACTGCAGAAAATTTTGTTGTTGAATAAAGACTATAGAGCAGATGAAATCTCATGTATTTTGCTGAAAATATATGTCCAATTATTGCACTATAAAGAAAATCCTGATCTAAGATAAAATATTTAACATTTAAAGCAGAAACTTTTTGTTGACTATTATGTGTTGATTGGCAGGAACAAGAGAGATTTTCTGAACATTGAAGAATGCAAGTAGAGATTGAAAGAGGTACTGATAATTTGCAGGTCATGTGAAGCTACAACAGTGAATATGATTTCACGTATTAACCATGTTTGGTTTTAAAGAGATGGAGTCACATGACATACTATAACAAAATGCCATTATCATTTATTCAATACAACTACTTTACTAAATCAAATACTGTATTGCAAACCTGTAATTCACTGTTGTATTATTTTCACCAACCAAGGCTTTTGTATTAGTAAATAAGACTTTTGTATCACCACCTAAAGGATTTATTATCTCACATACAACTAACACCTGTAAAAAAGATAGAGGATTTATAGGATAAACATGATATGAAGTACATCAATCTCAAGTCAAGTTCATGAACATTCATGAACATTCAAACTCCAAATCGTACAACTCTTGGACCAATTATAGAAAACCCAAACACTTCTTTGTCTTTTTTAGTTTTGATTTTTTTTCTCTCTGCTTATTTTTGTTTCGTTGTACTAGTTAATAGAATAAGGTGGAAATTTACTGAATGGCTTTCATGAATTGTCCCTCAAAACTAAATGAATGGAAATTAGGGCTCATTTAGCGAGAGACTCAAACATAGTTCAACAGAGTTTTAAATTCATGGAAGCAAAAGCACTTTGACAGCATAAAGCTTTTGACATTTGGAGTTTGTATCTGTTTACAAAAATGCTGTAAAATTCAGAAAAACATTTTACCATTAATCTGTACTTACATTGTTGACAGTGACAGTCTCGTTGAAAGACACTTTCAATGAGCTTGTTCGCTGGTTTTCAGGAACAACTATTATTCCTTTGGGATGATTAGTTGATTGATCGACATTGACAACAGCTGGGGGAAAAAAACACAACCCGACCTTATAACTTAAGCTTTTATTTGAATATATCAAAAATAAATAAAAAAATGTTTTTTTCAATATTCAATAAATAAGAAATAGCTTTGCAATATTTATAAWTTAGATTTTTTTAACGAGTCTTCCATGATCTTCCTCAATCACAAGGTATGCACTTGCACACAATAAAAACAAACAAAATAATACCTTCAAAATACAACCTACCTTGGTATGACAAGCCAAGCAAAGCAAAGATAACCAAAAACAAACAAAATAATACCTTCAAAATACAACCTACCTTGGTATGACAAGCCAAGCAAAGCAAAGATAACCAAAAACAAACTATTAATGAGAACTCTTACAATCATTTTCTTCTTATTGTTATCTAAAACACTGAGAAATAACCAAATACAGTTCGATATGTGCTGAAAGTAAACCAGCCGCCATTTTGAAAACAAAAATTCGCGCCGTCAATAACCGCTGAACACAAATACACAGGGACCCCGCAATAATTAGGTTTTGTAAAATTAGGTTTTATGACGTCAGTAATATCCTTTGCGGGACTAAACTTATCATTGGAACATTAAAAGGCGAGCCATCAAGAAATTGATTCAGGCAAGTGTAAATAACTATTTATAATTTAGTGTCGACCGGCTCCGTGATTCTTCAGTGTTCCCAGTACGTTTTTCAGTTTAAAAACAAAATCACAAAGTTCAAATTGAATAGACTTTGTGTTCCGTTTTCAGCGCTTGCGTTGCGTTGTTTTACTTCTGGGATTTGAGCTTGCATATTATTATGACATCAGGTTTGGGTTTGTGTCGTAGTGAAAGTTAACTAGTCTTTAGTGTCACAGCTTGCTTCCTCCCTTTTTCCTTTGCCTTTGGTTGATAGATTGGATTGCAGCTCTGACTAACGAAATTAAAACTATTTTCTTTGTATTTAGCAGAGCCGAAGTTTACTTCAAAAGCGCGGGAAGAAAAGGGCGATACATGAGTAATAAAAAGAACGCTGTTTACAATACAAGGCAGCGTCACAGCCACCCTCTCGTCCATCCTTATGAACAAGCAAAGAAACAGAATAAATCATACAGAATAGGGGTACAACTTAACTAATATTCATTCATTCATTCATTTCCCTAAAAATTTCTTCTTTCTTTTGTTGGCTTGATAATTATATTCTTAATGATTATTTCTACTACCACATGTAGGACGACACTATCTCTCTAATACACCAGACAGGACCTTGTAGCCAGTCATCATCCAATTGCATCAAATGTAACGCACTCCTGCAAGGCTTGAATTGTCCTGTAGGCAGCTACATTCAAGGTGAAATATTCACTAAAGCTGTAAGACAGATGCAAGAGAGAAATTCTTTCTCTAATACACACAAATCAAGCAATAGTCTTCAGGCTCCCTCTCCTCCCACTTCAAAGAAACCTGATGGTTTCTGCGAGAGCTGTCACGAGTTGGAGTTCGAACTATGTAACAACCGCCATGCGCAAGGCCAGTTTTGTTTGTCGGCATTGTCACGTACCTCAAACCAGGCAACCAATGAATCACCTGACTATGTGGCATTCCAGGGAAAAGAGTCACATGCTAGCCAGACACAGTGCAACAAGTGTTTCTCATTGGATGGGCATCTGCGAAACTCGCTAATTCGTGACATGAGAAATTATTATGGAACTCAAGAATGGCAAGACAAGTCAAAGGACTTAGGAGATTGCTATGCAAACAAAGATGGTATCCCGTATGCTCCATTTGCAGTTGAGCCCTCGAGTTTCGTCCAGAAGACTTTCAGTTGTGCTCGTTGTAAGGAGATGTGTAGTGACTCCTTCAAATCTGACAGGTTGAGAAATGAGTGGACTCCTTGGAATCCTTATCCAATGAAAGATAGTTTTGATAAGGTAAGAAAAAAATGTCCGCTGATCAGCATTCTACAGTTAAATTCCATTCCATGAATTGTCAAAACTTATACATCCTCTTATTTTTTGTCAGTCGACTTGCAGAAGATGCAGCACAAGAGGGCTTGTCTGCAATGGCTGCAGAATCTGGTCGTTCGATTGAGATGATAGCTACACTACTAAACACTCATTTAAACATCTTTGATTTAACAATTAATGGCCCTTTTGACTTTTCTATGTAGACATAAAAAAGGATAACAATTTCATGAATTTCTGCTAGCAAACAAACAATAACGTTTTTAGTCTTCAAAATTAAAGTGTCGACTATATACCATTTATAATAATGAATTTGATTACAGTCAATAAAGATATTCTTATGAGTGTTTTTGCTGTACTACACTATATCGATGACTTTATTGTTCATAGTAAGCTTTAGTGAACTTATCGTTTTTTAAAAAAGTATAATGAAACTAAAATGGACCGGTCTTTTCAAAAAGGGATCCACTTTACGTTAGAAGTCAGAAACTGAATATTTAATTTACAATATTCAGTGTTGACCTCTTAGCAGACTTGAAACGGTGGCTGACAGTTCATTTGTACATTAACAACTTTGGTGTCTGGTGCCTTCCCGACCGGTATCTGTCTGTCTCCAGGTTTGACTACGAGACGAATCGTATCTGATTTGACATCGACAGTTGCTTTATCTTTAGTTGCCATGATATCTAGGACACCTGCTTTATGCTCCACCTGCACGAGAAAAAAAACTAAGTACGAGAAGACTTATAAACAAAATAAATACCCAGGTTGAAGAGCAAGTTTGTCGATCCCATAGTGCATCCAGGGCCGAACATCACTATGACGTCATAAGAAAAAGGACCATTTCACGTGAAAATAACGATTTAAATAATGATAATGATGACAACAATAATAATAATGATGATTTATATCGTATAAATACGACCAACCGACTCAATAACCATAATTCCTTCACTAAAGCCCGACAGCAGACTGCGAAGGAGACTGCTGTACATGTACTTATGTCTGAAATTTCGAATTCCTTCAACTACAATATAAAGAGTAGAAAAAAGAGCCTTTACACTCAACCTTTACACTTTACAATAATGGAAAATACATGTATAAAAAACAATGAATATGCTCAGATATGTTATGTTTGAGTCGGATAAAATCAGAAAAATATGAAGTTATATGTTCGTATATCATTGTGGGATCTGCACTTCTTACCTGAAAATGCGGTTTTTGTAATGATTGAGCAGTGGTGTAAGTGATGGAATTTATCACAACTAGCAAGAAAAACCCAAAAGCAACAAGAAAAAAACTACTTGGTAAGTGTCCTACCATCTTTAAAACAATTTCGAGTAGGCCTTGATGAAAAGCCTTGAATTTCCTTTGTTGGTACTTTTAATCGCGATGACAAGTTCATAAATTATGAACACGAACTGAATAAAGAACCTACAACCTACCTGTCATCACTGGCAGGGAATTCTTTTTGTTGTAGACAAAACATAGCGGTTATGCTGGTGATACAACTATTTGATCTTGGCGATGCAATTCTGAAGACTTTAGTGAACTTTAAGAAACTGACTTTTATTTCGATGCAATGAGTTCACATGAATGGTGCCGTTTTATAATTCTATTCACTTAAATGTCAAGGATGACGATGTTATAACCGATGAATTATTTATGAAGAGCGAAATCAAAATCGAAAGTCACCACTTCTAGTTTCCTGTAAAACTGCAGTTTTAGCTCTATATTGTGTCCCTGTTTAGCAAGTTGAACTTGGTGATGGGATTTTTAGCAGTCAACAATCCAAACAGCACACGATGGATGCTGCTTGCCATCCTCGTGTTCAAATTATGTTTAATAGCTGTTCATTCGGCCGAGTCAAACGGTCAAAAAGCGCATTTCCAAGTAGAGGATAAATCTGGAGATCTGAAAGTGATTGCTACTAAAGACATGGCGAAGGTTACTTCACAAGCTGACAGTGTTCAAGTCGTCGTGAAGCCAGGAATGGCGGATTATCCAGTTGTTAAGTCAGACAAGCCTATAGTTCACGTTACAAATGGTTGCTGTGGTTGGAATTCATTATCGTTCAAGAAATCTTTAATAAAAAAAGGAAAAGCATATTCAAAACATCAAAGGAAACAAAAAGTTTACAATGAAAAACTTCGTGCGAGAAAAAGCAATCGACAACTTGAGCTTGGAAAAAGGCTACCGCTGAACGGCAAATTGCCAAGCAACAAATCATCTTTACTGAAACGCTTTAAATCATTAACGCCATATAAGAAGAAGACAAAAGAAAACCAAAGTCAGAAAACTAAAACTTCTTTTAAAACTTTGAAGCTCAAAGAAGAAACAGCGTCTAGGAAATCATTCCAGCCCAATGAATTTGGTTTTGCGGTGAGCGGTACAGCGGGTAAACTCAACATGGATGTAACTACAAATGGAACCAAGATAACGAGTGAGTCTGGTGTGATGGATGTGTTCCTGAAGCGCAAGGCCAGCTCGGCACAACACGATAATATCCATAAACACGACATTGTACATATAGCTCCTGAGTTGGTTAACAATGATGAAATTGGTCTGCGAAAGTCACAGATACCTAAGAAGATCAATAAAAGAACACCAGTCATTCCTTACTGACTGTGGCTTGTAGCTTACAATATCCGTGAAATACACTTTTGCGCATTTTAGCAGAGTGAACTCACGTGAAATTTAAATTTAAATTTTTGAACCTCTTTGTACTATTTTGTGCATTTAGAAAATGTTGTGCGTAAAAAAACGTTGGTGATTCAAAGACAGTTCTGCTTCAGAGGCACATTTAGTTCAATTTTGTGCTATTTTGGGTTTGTACAATTTCACGGGTTCAATGTGTTCACTCTATTCCTTTAAACTTGCTTATTTCACTCATGACCAGAAATCCCAGATATTTCTAATGCGCATGATCGTGTTGGGAGAGTGATCGCACTTAATCCATGCAACTTTACAAACTAAATAGTTCTATTTAGTTGTATTTAGTAAATCGTGCATGCGATACGCAAATTAAATTGAATTGATACAAATGAAGCATTCAATACAGTCTTCTTTCTTCAGGTCCACTTTTAGTACAAATTAGTACTACTTAGATTTTGTACAGTTGCACGGATTAAGTGCGTTCACACTATTATAAAATGTCTATTTACAAAATATATTATATGCAGCTGCGAGTCTAGAGAGAGAAAGAAGTTATTTACATTTATTAAAGACAGGGGAATTATACCATTACATTGAAACATTTGACAATCATTGCATAATCCCTTTGTTTGCTGTGAAACTATGTTGGAGGTTCAAAAATTTCATCGGTTTGGTTTTTGTTTGCTTTAGGGGGAGGGGAGTAGAAATGAAAAAATAGATTGGTCTTCAACTGAATTTGTCTCATCAAAACTTCGAGCAAAAACAAGAGAGGTTCATATGTATGGAGGGCGAGTGGTCTGCCGTATTTGGTTTTATGGCTTCAAAGCCACATCACAAAACAAAAATGTTTCAGCTGAACCGAGTTTATTCAATGTTCAAGTTTCTAATATTACACTTCTATTCCAAGTTTCCAATTCATGATTTTAGCTTTTATTGCGTCGGCTTGCACTTTATGTTGGCGTCATCTCGGAGCTGCTGTACAATCAAATGTCCAGTACGCTCCAGCGTCTTTATCATTTCTTTAAGGATTTGTGCATTGCAAGTGGTGGTCAACTTGTTCATACAGGTGATGTGCTCATCCCATCCTTTACAAAGCTATTTGAAGAAAAGCATACTCCTTTTTTATATATAGATTCATGTATATATATCGATAAGCAATTAAATGCACTAAAATGCTTTACAATTACTCTTTTATCAGTCTAAAGTGATAGAGGTGAAAACGATCATCAGTCTATGATCATGCAAAGAAAAGAAATCGAAGTAGGAATGGCGTACCTTCCTCAAAGTCTCGTAATGACAGGGCCGTAGCTAGTAAGAGGCCAACCGAGGCACTCGCCTCGGTAAAATTTTGCCGATGCTTTTTGTTCGTCATCACTAATATTATCTTAGCCTCTCAGAGCCGATTTCGTACGACTGATTTTGTGCAAAAAATATAAAAATAATGTTATTTTTGTACGTGTAGCTTCTTTGTTTCATAAATATTGCATGATGAATTCCGGTTAAATCTGTTCAATACAAAACGCTGCAACTTGCATTTCCGAGAGACTGAATTTCAAATTTTCTAGGGGGAGAATGCCCCCAGACCCCCCTAGTTTCTCCCGCCATCGGCGGCCGCTTGCCTCGGTTGTCCATTCACCCTGGCTACGGCCCTGCATGAAACAGTTTTATATTCCTCCTACCTTACTTGTCGATTTAAATACATCAAGATATGTCTTATGACAGTTTCCAAACGCTAGAAGAGCACAGTAATCTGCTGGTTTGATAACTGAAAATAAGGGATGGATCATTTTACTATATTACTCCAGTTTCGAGATCTAATAGCATGTAATATATTCTTTTAATCAGCAGAGATTCTAATGTAATGCAAAAACTCTGTGTACAAAGAAGACGAAAAAAATTTATGCTTGATTGAAGCTAATAAGCTTGCACAAAAGAGAATTGGAAACTGGATTATTGACGCACTGCACAACTGAGGGTCGCGTGACAACGTTGTTCAGCATATTTATGCAATGGTACATATGTCCTGTCTTTAGGTGAGGACATCAGCATGGGTGGATCAATCAACACCAGTATGAGAGACTACATGGATTAGTTTTGTTACTACATTCGAATATAACTAAAATTGTCAACTGAAAAAAGAATTATCAAAACCAACAAGACAATGAAAACATACACATGACCTAGTGATTCTCAGTTCTATCTTGCAAGCAAAGGAACTCGTACCTGTTTGATCCATATATCCGTATTTTTTTGCATGATCTAAAAAAAATTAGATTTGTCAACTATCGGTCATATTTCTTCATTACAAAATAAGCGATCGACTGTGACAAAACGTTAACAAAATACTATTCTTGTAATTAAAGCAAAGCTTTTTTTCAAACCTGTTTTATCTGTGATCTTCTTAAGCTTTTTGTAATCAATGTTGGGGCAGTAGCTCAATCTTTTGAAAAAAATAGCGGATTGGGTGTAGGCATAGCGCATGGCATCGATTATTTTGCCTTTTAATTCGGCATGTTTTGACAGACAATCTACAAGCATCTGAAAGATATTTTTATACAACAGATAAATAAACGATTTGCAATTATTTTCCACTAAACCAGGCTGATCAAGAATACTCCAGAAACTCTAAGAATATGCTTTACCAAGATCACCAAGGATCAAAGTATCCAATCTCGAAAAAATCGCGCGCTTTAAAGGCTGTAAATGTGATGGAAATATGATGTAAGTGTCCAAATGATTCTGTAAATTTGATGTAAATGATTTCCATTAAATTTACAGAATTTTGGACACTTACATCATATTTACATCAAATTTACAACCTTCAAAGCGCGCGATTTGTTCCAGTGATTGTGTGTTAATATAATTCAATCATTACCTGTAATCTTGGACAAGGTCCTTGGCTATCCGTGCCGTTAGTAGGTAGACTCATTRTGTATTGGTGAACACAATTCTTTCCTAATTCTGTCGCAGTGAGTCCCTGACATCCAGGTACAGCAAGCACAGCAATGAAGACAATGAAAATGCCCGCAATATTCATAATTTTTGTCGACTAATAAAACATAGGAGTAGATTCTGAAAGAAAATGCACTTGTTCAGTCAGTAATAAAGCATGTACACGGTATTTCATAAGAAAACACGATAAGCTGCCTGAGCCACCATCGATTGATACCAACATTTATAGTTAATTTTTTATAAGGTAGGGACGGAACATCCCTCTAATCAAATCTCATGATTACATCAGCTTTCATTCCTAATTTGAACGCAATCCGTATAATATAACTCCTATAATACATTGTAGTAACATGGTATATGCGAGCAGGATCAGCATTTTTTTGGGAATCTTGTTCACAGCTGCTAAGTACCCGGAATCGAGGATCAGCTATAAAAAATACATGCATATCACTCACTTTTGATTAGTGGAGGATCAGGGATCAGTTGAAAAGAGGTTTGGGAACATGTGCCAAACTTTTGGCCTCGAAAATGGATCACAAACTCAACGTACTTAGCATGTCGAGATTCTACAAATATCTATGTGATTGTCACGGGACTATAAGAGGAATTTTATATTATTCACATTAATTAAGTAGTTTTCAATTAACATTGTAATGTAAAATCGCGTGTAGACTAGAGTGTGGGCGTTGTTTATTCGAGAAGAGAGATAAAAAAACGAAAAGAAATAAGCTTGAGAATTTCTTTGTACGGAGGCATTTGTATAAAGTTTATATAAAGTTTCTTAATCTTTAAAGCAAGCTTTCGCCCTACGCGGCCATTTTCAAGGTTTGTTAGTACACGTAATACACATAGCTAACGGTAAAGTGCTTGTTGGTCGATGAGACCCAGATTTATGGCGAGAAAAAGACTGACAATTTCGCTGAGGAAAAACCTGCAAGGTTAACGGGCGACTGGTTAGATTGAGGGTCAGAGAACTTGATGCGACAACTGAGAAGTACCGGCCAGGAAGACAAGGTGTAGGGTGAAACCAACCGACGCCGCCTCAGGCACGGTATAAAAGGCCACATGGACCGAAGCGTGTTAAGTCAAGGGTGTGTGAAGAAGCAATCACGACCATCTAGCAATAATCCTTTTTTTTTTCTTGCGCACAGCTAAGATTCGATATGTACTTGAGTAATTTACTATCAGTCTATTTAGTTTATGCAATAAGCTTCATAGTAATTTTACGTGTGCCGTATACGAGCACTTGTTGATTAGCTACATTTATCAATACTCATTATATATATCAAATTAAACTGAGAGAGGAGTGCATGTTTAGTGTCGTTGAATTGGTAGCAACCAATAGTCGTATCGTGATAGTAAAACAGCGCAGAGCACGGCACGGAACAATATCATACACTATAGCGTACTACATTGAATTGATACGACTTTTAATGAGGATTCTTCATGTATGTTGTGCACCAAGAATCCATGTTGCACCCTACCTTTGAAGACGTCTTGATATCTTCAGCTCTGAACAGAATGACTCTTTAGTTCGTATAAGAAGACCTTTTAGAATTATTTTGGGATCAATGGCAAAAATTGATTGGATGATTTGTCATGACGTCATTGTGGTTCCATTCCAACCTTCTGTAGGTGCCATGCCACAATTGCCATCATATTTTAACAAACAAACAAACACAAAAAGAAATGTTGGAAATTATGTTTGCATAAGTGGTTACTAGGAGTAGAGGCCTCACTTTTCGCGTAATTTCTGAATTTATAGAAGAAAATTGAAGAGGACAGAACTGAGATATTGACGACATTGTCATAAGGCAGTAATTGCTGTATTTTCATTTCAGTGTCTTTTATATCTGGTAGTTCGCCAGTTTGACAATATCCTTGAATTAATTTTGCTTGATTTCAGTTCATAATTAGCACATTTATTGTTTGTCATGCATTAATAAGTATCTTTACCCGGCATCATTAGCGCAGGTTATTAGTAACGGTTTGTTCGTAATCTTATCTCTYTAAATGATGCTTTCCAAGGAATATGTAAATTCCTTTTTTAACTTTGGTTTCCTGGGAAACTTGTTAACTTCTTTCATTATTTATCAATTTATCATCGGTTATTATATCTGATAGTTTATTTTGGGTAATGAAACGACAGTTCACTTTCAACGGAGATTTCTTAATTACATACTACATCTTTCACGTCTAAATCCAATAAATGTGTCAATAAAGGTTGTTAAACATGTGATCTCCAGAAGATTTTTGTAATCAAGATGCCAACAGTAGTTTAACTTGTAGAAAAAATTGAGACTTTTGGAGAAGGTATTGATCGTTTTCACCCATTCACATGACATTCAAAAGATAAAAGACCGGCGGCCATGTTGGAGGAATGAACAATAGTTACTAATGAGAAATCCTTTGTTAAAGTTCCTCCAAGATGGCCGCTGTGACGTTACCTGCAAACGAAGAATCGTAAAGCAGGCCGCCATTCGTCGAATTCATCTATCGCTTTTCGAAAGTTGTCCCGTTTGACCCGTTCCCCCCCTAACCCCCACCACAATAAAAATTATGCTTCGCGGTGCCTGGTAAGGCATTCAGGTATTCATCATTTTGCTCTTCAGCTTTAACGTTGGCTTTGCAAGACAGCGTACAATAATCTTCTGTAGCTAAAGATAATTTTAATTAACTTAAAGTTTGTAAAGATTAAAAAATCCGGCAGCTTTTGTGATCTTGTTCACTTATTTCTACATTGTTATGGTATGGTGCTGTATATGTATACAGGTTAAAACGTTATCAGGGTCTAAGCAAAGACTAAGGCTGGGAGGCATAAAAAAGACGCATCGAAAGTCAGTGCATATATTGGTGGACTTTTAAATAGTGATAAAAAATAATAATAATAATAATAATAATAAAAAAATAATAATTTTTATTTATTAATTTTTTATTTAAAAAGATTAAAATTCTTCTACCTTCTGTCCTCCCCCAATTTCTAATTATATGATTGCAAAATATGAATATTTCCTTTACCTATATGATATTTTTCCTTATTTTGTAGTAGTCTAATAAAAACGTTTGCGTGCTTTTGTGCGCAAATATAATCCTAGTGCCCAGACTCCTCTCATAGGTTTATTGTTTTGATATGATTTTCTCAAAGAAATGTCATTGGCGCTCGGACCTCAAGTTTCTTCTGTAAATCTCACTGAAAACAAATACATAGCCCCACAGGACAAGGAACAAGAAAATTGCACAGGTTTACATACAGGTAAAGACGCTTTAGGTTATTTTAGAGGTGTTTTTGTACTCGCTACAACACGTGGTATATGCATGCCGTCAATGCCAGCCGATGTTTGCATTGTCCGATGTTGTTTTCAAGCTTTTTTGGATTTTGTAAGCTAAATATTGCTAAAGTCCATGGCTATCTGTAATGCTATTGGATTGTTGATAGTCATATAGCAAAATCGGGGCATCTTCTTGAGCTATTTACATACTTTATGTGTTGTAATTACACGTAGGCATGATTATAATTTGAATATATTAGCAGACAGTTAACCTAAATCTTTTTTTATTTATATTTATAAATTACTTAAAAAAGTCAAAAGTAATGGAGGTTCCCATTCAATGTCTAAGGGCATATTATTGGATTTGTGTGAATAATACATTAAATGAATTATTTTCATCATTTAATTGTCATCATTTTAATTGATCACTATCTAAAATCCTTTAACTATAAACATTTTTCATTTGCATCATAACAAATGATAACTAAATGGTGCTAGAGAGGTTTGTCATGCGTCTATCAGTGTTCCCCCTTGGGGACGACCCCCCATCCCCAGGGACATTTTTCATTCCAATTTTGCCCCTCACCCACAGGTTAGGTTTTATGTAGCATTTTATCACCCCCAGGGGGAACCCGCTGATAGACGCATTATTTCATTCAAAAGGGAGTTCCATTCATTAATCTTCAAAATCATGTTTTTTTTGGAATTATAACTGCAGAGTCTGAAGGTGTCCAAACAGTAAACAATGTATCAGCGGCCAGCAAGCCATCACATCCACCAAAGCTAACACCAAAGGTGAATATCACTATATACCCAGCAATTGTGCATTAAGAAGCAGGACAACTAGTCTATGCAATTAAGGTCATTCCAAATTATTGCATTGCTCATGTATGTTGTTCTGTGCACAATATTTGGTGAGATCACACCTAGCACATGCTATGCTAATTTTAGGAAATGACCATAATTCAACCATTTGAGGCATTTAGTTCTTATTTAACTTCTGAAATAGTAGATCATAGCTGTAGGTTTATGTAGTAAAAGCTGGATAAATCTTTGTTGTAGATTGAGCAAGATCATAATGATAGTTGCTCAACAAATCGTGATACAGCGGCACAGTGTAAGTACAAAGGAGAGTTTTTCCTCAATAAACATTGTTACTGACTGTATTTGTATGTTAAAAGGCCTTGTGCATTCAAATATTTAACAAATGCCAATTATTATACAATCATTAATTCCCTGTAACTGTTCTAGATCCCTCGCTGCATTTCTTAGCAGCTCAAGGTGAAGTGGCCAAAATTAAGGAAGAGATAGATAAAGGTTTGGATCAGTTTGGTTACAAAGATGATTTCTACACAAGCTTCAGTTATAGATGATTTGGCTTTTATTTATACAGGTGCTAATATCAATGCAGTTGATAAGACTGGTCTGACTCCATTAGCTTGGGCAGCAGCACACAGACAAGTGAGTATAAAATTGCAGCTGCTCCAACATTTGTTCAATTTGGTTGAACAGCAATGGTGAAAGAGTTTACACCAGCCTTAACATGTACTTTTTCAAAAGGAGAAAGCGTTTTTAATGGTTACAAATATTGCCAAGCTGCTTTAATAGTGTTTAGTTTCTTTAGGGATGAGTGCAGGTAGGTGATTTTGAAGGAGGCACTTAATAGGAAAAAGTGTTGAAGTATGTCAAGTTGGGCTGTAGGCTGTAGGCCCTGCACCCATCGGCAGAATCACCCCTGTCACTCACTCAACATTCAATATAGATATTTGAGGTTTGAGATGTCCTCAAACCTTGAATCAACAATGTTGATTTATATTAGATGCATTGTCTTGTTTTAGAAAATATAGCTACTCAACTTAGTTTTCCGTTTTATTTCATTTAGAAAGCTACCGTCAGCTTGTTGTTACAGAATGGTGCAGATGCAACAATATGCAGTCCAAATGGAGAAAGTGCACTTGCCTTTGGTACTTGTCAGGGTCAACTAGACATTGTAGAACAACTACTAGAATATGGTGCTAACCCTAATGTAACAACTATGGTAAGATAATCCACATCTGACGTACAACGAATTCTGAAAATGCGGTCGTAATAAAGAAATGCCTTATCATAAACGCGACGAAAAACTAAATGCCTGAAGGGCGTGGCTTTAGTCAAATTGAATGTTAAAATATATGATATAACAAATACCATCTATTTTGATAAAGTTTTACATTGCGTTTTTTTCACGATCGCGATGAAGGATTAACCAATAGTCTAAATCCTTCTAGCACAACTGTATCCTTAATGAAAGAAGTTTATTTTATACGTCAAGATCACTGTTTTCTTTGTTAATTTGTTTGATATTTGACGTTTGGCGTTGGCCGTGGGTTGAACTGTAGTCATCTGTTGTTTGTCTTGCAGGATGGTGGATCGCCCTTGATGTTTGCTGCTTACAATGGTTATCCACAGATGGTCAAAGTACTCTTGGGTTAGTTATCTACATACACTAGATGTGGATAGACTACTAGACTGATTGTATCTACATTCGCGGATTATGTGTCTTCGTAGCGTTTTTGTACTTTATTACACGTTTACTACATTAAAAACGTTTCCGTCCTAAAACGTACAAAAAACGCCAGGACAATTGCAGCATCACAGTACATCACTGTTTATCACAGAACATGTTGTAGTGCGCTATATCATCGTACGGCTCGGAAGCATTGTAGCGCAAAATTTGTGGCAGGACAATATTTGTACTTCAGATACATGTAGTGTGCGTCAAGGTATCGAGACAGCTATACACCCTTTTAATAAGTCCCGAGGTATTGTGTTTTCCGCACATGACGTCAAATTAGTTCTTTTGAATTCCTTTTTTATTGTAAACATTTCAAAAGAATGATTTTGACAATCGATAGAACATCACTCTATTACGAATACCGCTATAAGTCTTGTATCGCGACTTCAAAGTTTTTATGCTCGTTGGGACTTTTGTTTTTACTACTTGTGCCGAACTTGAGTTTCTCTAAAGGAAAGTATTTTAAAAGTACTTTTTAGAGAAAAACTTTAGAGAAAAACCCAAAATTCGACTAAAGAAATTCTAAGAATCTATAGGTTGCAATACAACGGTTTGTGCTCTAATTGCTAGGAAAAATTCTTTTATATACAACACAAAAGCAAAAGTTTTGTTTATGTTTGCAGAGCATGGTGCAGACCTGACAGCAACTAATAATGAGGGCCATACTGCATTCAGTCTTGCTGTTGGCATGGGAAACAAAAATGGTAAGATTACGTCACAGTGGGAGCTCTAATCGTTGCGTCTCCTTTAAAATCCTGTAAAGCGATTGTTTGGTAGCAAGTGCTGTGTTTCATTTTCCTGTAGCGTATAATGACGACTTACATTCTTCGTTTTCAAGTTACGTCACAGCGGCCATCTTGGACAAGAAACTTTTCATTAGTATCTATTGTTCATTCCTCCAACATGGCCGCCGGTCTTTTATCATGGGAATGGTTGAAAACAATCAATTCCCGTGAACTTAGCTTGTACCTGTTTCTACAAATATGGGTAAAAGACGAGCTGCAACAATGGTTACTTCGTGGTCTGTTATTGATCGTTTTCACCCATTCACATGAAATTCAAAAGATGACAGACCGGCGGCCATGTTGGAGGAATGAACAATAGATACTAATGAGAAATCTTTTGTTGAAGTTCCTTCAAGATGGCCGCGGCTGTGAAGTTACTTGAAAACGAAGAATATTAAAACCATTATTTTCCTTCTGTCATTAGTTCAACGTGTCATAGATGACTATCTAAGGACGATCCTAGAAAAACCCAAAAACCATAACAAGACCAAGTCAGAAAGTTGACTGATGTTCCAAACATTGTACAAAGTCCTACGACAAGATGTTAAACAAGTCTTCCTTTCCGCTTATCCTCTCTGTAGATACCAAAACGGCTCAGTCCAGGGGCGGATACAGGAGGGGTGGATTTCTGTTGAGCTTGGATGATAAGGTAATAATTTCCCCACCCCCTTATCATGGTCCTGTATCCACCCCCTGGAGATTGTGAGCTGATTCACGAGTGGTTTGATGTACAGTATTAGATCGAACTATAATAAAATCTATTTTATTTCTTGACTTAAGATGTAACAATTCGATTTTTTACATACAACTTGTAGTATACACCACACAAAATCTACATGTTTTGAAAATGCGGGTAACATTGGGAATCCGTTTTGTTGGTTGTTTTTTCCCGAGTAGTCAATCCCGGTCTCCTTTCCAATATCACTGATCCCGCAACATGGCTTCGTTTAGGGTTTGCTTTGCTTAGAATGTGACAGAGGTTTGTGAAGATGTGTAATACAACTACATGGACAATGTAGCTATATTTTTAGCAATAAATTAAAATATCACGAACTGAACGCCAACAACGTGCTAATATAGTCATAATAGAGACGACCAACCTTCAAGTCAGTCATGGTGTGGTTTTCGTGTTTCAATAATAATAATAATCTAGGAAGTGGTCGATATAATAGGCTCTGTAAGGTGCTGTGTCATACGGTGTAACCTATCAACACATTACTAGAATCTCGTGTAAGCTGCCCGTACATTGTTAGATCACTGTATTGTATATCTGCCAGCATAACGCTAAAGCTAGGACGCATGTAATGGAATAACAGTACACACTTGTCATTCAAAAAACTCGCACAATTCATGTCAATTTCCATCAAGTGTTTTGGTGTTAGGTCCTGTAGCCTTGTCGTTGTTGTGTTCTCTGATAGTTTTGTACAGCTGTGTTCATAGAGTCTTGATGTGTTTGATAATAACCAAACTGTGGTTGGTTGCTTCTATATGCTGGTGCTGTAGGAGTAAGGGTAGACTGAGCAGGGATGTGACTACTATTACCAGATGTCGTATTGCCCCACTGTGAATAAGATGACGGGTGGACGGAGGGCGTGGCACCAGGGGTGTAAGGGGTGTTACTTTCAGACATGGCTGTTGGCGTGTTACGATATCCTAGAAAAGATCATTGTTGTCAGTTTGGAAAACATAGTGCAACTACAGAGTACTGGGCCGAGCTGATCAAAGCCCGATACTGGCGTTGATCTAGGGTTAAATCCACTGTTTTTTTTAAAGTTAATCCAGGGCAAGCGCTAATCGAGCTTTGAACAACCGCGGTCTTGGGGTGAAATATCTATTTCTCTCGACTTGCCTACAGCGACTTGCCTATCTCAGTAATATAGGGTACAAGTATTTTCTAAATACCTGGTATCGGGTCTCTAAAATGTTCCTTGAACCATCGAAAAAGTCCATTCAAAGTCCCGTGGACGCGATTACGGTATCTGAATCCATCAGGCGTTATACTGACCATCTCTATACGTGGTTTATTACGTGGCATGTAACCTAATAAAAACTTCCCTGGGTAGGCTTTAGATAGTGAGATATAGTAAGGGATTCTCTGTACTGCTTTCTTTTTTTCTATTATCAATATCTCTTCAAGTTTCTGTTTGACACCACCCTCCGCTGACCGATGGTATTTGTGGGCTACAACTTCACGAGACAAGGCCGCCATTGGTTGGATGTGCCGCGCGATAATTTCATCCAAATCTTCAAATTCCTGAAACGAAAGACAAGTTTCGATTTATGATCAATCGGCGGCCATTATATTCTCGAATGAAATTAATAGAATCACTAGAGATTCTTTTCGATTTTGTCCTATTCATGTATTTTGTCCCTGTCCCATTCATGTATCGTCAATGTGTTTTCATTTATCACCTTGGTAACCTTCACAGATGCATTAATAGCATACAACACCTATGACATACCTCATTTTCAATCCATAACGACCGTCCAAGGCTAAAAGCGTTTTCTTTTCCTTCTTCCCGAACATCAATGTGTTGATAGATGCCTTGTTCTACCTTCCACGTGACTGTTAAATGGTCTGAACCCTACAGACATTAAAGACAAAAACTTAAATATGAATGAAAACCTGCACAGTCTTCCTTCAATCCATATTTCCAACTATAGAGAGTCTTTTCAATTCATGTCTATCTTACAGATAACTAATAGGCTTTTTAATGCTTCTGCTTCGGACTTCACTTGCAGGGAGTCTATCACGTCAAATGTAAGGGTTCTATCACGTGACATTTAAGGTTCTATCAAGTCACATTTAAGGGGTCTATCACGTCAGACATTTAAGTGGTCTATCGCATCACATGTAAGTGGTCTATCGCGTCACATGTAAGTGGTCTATCGCGTCACATGTAATGGGTCTATCACGTCACATGTAAGGGATCTATTACGTCACTTGTAAGTGGTTTATCACGTCACATGTAAGGGATCTATTACGTCACATGTAAGTGTTCTATCACGTCACAAGCAAGAGGTCGATCTATCAAGTCACATGTAAGGGGTCTGTAATGACCTGGTGGTACCTTTATACTCTACACCCACCTTACTACTCGGTCTCACGACACACTCTCCTTGTTCCATGTCTGACAGTAYTTTTTCAGCCTCTTTAAATGAGATGTTGCGGAATGCTGGATGGACGATGACACGTTTGATATACTCTGAAATAAAACAAAGACTTTCTCTCAAGCATACAGTGGTACAGTGAATTCTTCCCATTGTCACCCGAGGAGGACTGGACTACGATTATGGACGGTCTTTTCCGTCCCATTCTGCCTTGGTCTCGGAAGAAATACCTGACATGAGAATAATATTCGAGATATTTCTTACTTGGTCTGTTAGCTTTCTTTTTCACCAATTCTTCCTCTTTTTTATCTTTGTCTTCAGAATCTTTGTCGTAATATAAATCTTTAGGCAGACTGCAAAGCATAATGTGCATGACAAGTAAGTACACCAACAAACTGGTCACGTGGCTATCTTTTTTTTTTACCTAAACTTGTTGTCTTTGTCGGTAAGATCTGACGACCTACAAGTCAAGTCGATTTGAAATCGCTCCATATTGATACGTGTCACCCGTCCATGAAGGGTCATGCCAACCTGTGAAATACCATTAGGACACCAATAGGTAAATCTATACTGTATTATTGCAATGAAACTCTCAGTATAATCATTTCGACTGACAATTTGTGTCACAATATTAACAATTTTGAAATAGCGCAAGGGCTGTATATTTGCAGTAACAAGAAAACATTTTGAAGGTGAGGGCTCCTAGTTATTGGCTCCTATACCCAAGCACCTGAAAGTAAAACTCAACCGAGCCAAAGTTTACCTTGACCCGTTCCTGCGGTGACTTGACATGCTTGTCACTTATCATCTTGGTAGGTATAAACCCTGATAAACCACTATCATGACGTACTCGTACACCAACAGCTTGACCTGGACAACTACCATTATCAAGATGTGTCCATACCTGGAAAAAATAATTAACCAACCAAACTCACTCTCATGCGAGAATCGCCATTTAAAACGGTTCACTATATTTCCTATTTTTCCTATTTCCAATCATCATTGCGTGTTTTTAATAGCAGGGAATAGATTTCACTTTATTTGGAAAGCACTTTGATAATTTTCACTTCTTTCTATTCAAGAATGGGTTGCAATATTCATCAAAGCTAATATTTTGCCATACGTTTGTAAGTGAAAAGTCATTAATCAGCATGTTTTATTTATTTATTCAATCATTCTTTCATAGTTGAAATACGTCAATTGTAACATGTACTTACATCACCAAGTTCTGCATAATCATTTTTTAAACAGAAAGGACATTGCCATAAACCGGTTTGGTCATTCCTTTCAGGGTTGGCTTGGTCGATCATTTCCCTGGCTGGTTTACGGAATGCAAAGCCTGTTACTGTACATATAACGAGTTTACCAACATACAAGCTATTGGACGTCTCTCCTGTAAGCAGCCTGAACACCTCTTCAATGGACAGCGATCTGTAAATAACACGTCGTTCCCGGTACCGACCAAACAGCTCGTCACGAATGTCGTACAGTGTTATCTTCTTGTTGCCATAGTTCTGTCGCTCTAATTCTACAGCAAAGGCGTCGAGATCGAGGTCCTTGAGTCTATCTGGCGTGTCTAGAATTTCTTCTAAAGCTGCTGAAGGGTTAGCCTCTTCTGTAGTCTGAACAAATAACATTAAAAATTACTTTTCCGTGATAATCATGTTGTTGCTTTATTGATCTTTTGTTAATGTTTGTTTGTCGTTGTCGTTTTACTCAGTGTAACCACTTTGCAATGGAAGAATTCTAATCATTGTGCTCAGACTATCAACTTACTGAGAGCTAGTGCTCAGAACGCACTCTTTCTTTAACAACGATGTACGACAACCATTACTGTATCCATTTATACTGAAATGGCTTAAACTAAAGAACGTTTGATCGAACCGCATCAGTCATCTTACCTCGTCGTATTCTAAGGCATCGACAGCCATCTGTTTTGCCCATTCGTACGTCTCAGGATGTACTCTTGAACCATCGAGTACTTCTATGTAGTTAGTGCTGATATCACTGATAGCTGCTGTATCGATCTTGATAAAACCAGCACAATTCAGGAAAATCTTAGGACCAAGGTTACAAATAGTGACAAGCTGTGATCGGTTTTCTAGTCGAGACCCTTGTTGACGAAGAGACTAAACAAACCAAAATGTCATTCATCTTATAATGCATGTATATGGGAAATGTCACCGGCTTACAGGCTGTATGTCTCATTTTGTAGTCTTCCAGATAATTAACCGAGCTTATTTTTATAGTATATTCATAATATTCATACAAAGGACAAAATATAGATTTTCATTTCATAAATCGCCTTATTACTTTTTACAATGAACTCTTTTCTATACATTTTCCTCTCCACTCTTCAATAGGATATAGTTCCCTTATAAGGCAAGATTTCACTACATCCCCAAAAATGCCGTCATACCTTAAGTAGAGCCGAAGCCTTCCTGGGTCCCAGTCCACAAACAAACTGCAAGAGTGCTACAGTGTGAGGATGGTCAAGAAGTCTGTTAGGATCAACACCAACATCGTTCACAACTGTAACCAATTCAGTGTGAAGAGATTTGACTAATTTCTCCTTGTCGATTTGATCCTACAACAACATACTCAAGTTAAAAGAGTCACCAATGTATATGAACAGTTCGTTACCTGTTGGTTTCACATAACCTTTGACGAAAATGATCCGAAGTTCATTTGAAACTTCTAAAACTCCCAATGAACTTACGCACTTCATTGGGAACTTGGAAAATTGTTACTTGTAACTCGCAAGCGATCAAATTGAAGTGCAGTGTATATCTCAAGGGAAAACGATCCCTTTGAAAGTGAGAGAACGTAAATATTCATAAACATAAGTGAATACCTGGAGAGGATGAAATCTAACACACAGCATCTCATCTTCCTCAACACAAAGACTAGAAAACTCAGCCAAAGGGTCTTGCAGTCGACGGCCAATAGACAAGGCATTGCGTAGAACAGGGGGGTACTCACGTACCTCATTCTATAGCAAACACAATTAAATAATTTGTTAGAAATGTTTTTATTGTATATGTAAGGGTGGATTTTACTATCAGAAATAATTGGAAGACTAGATTTCTGATCAATTCATGATGTGCTTGTAATTTACCTCTGACCTTGGTGAAGACTGGTAAATACGTGCTACCTCACAGTCCACCAGCTCTACGCCAATAGGTGTCATCTGATTCTCTTGCTCCAGTTCGGACAGACACATCTTAATATCATCCATAACTGACGTTGCCTCTCTACATGTCGATGCTACTGCTATGACATGTGGGCGTTTTTTAAGAACAAAATCTTTCAGTTTTTCCATATCCTCAACCTATGTTAAAAAAACACTTGATTCAAAACAAGGTAAAATAGTAGTACATTTATTATAGTCACTGTTAAGTAGTAACGATCTGGTGGCCACAATAAATGTCTATATTTAATCCTCTATTCAGAGACCAAATCTCCAACAGATGTAGAAGCAAAATAACAAGACAAAACCTGACAAGTAAAATGATTGTTGGATGAGCCTTCTTAAACTGTACATGTAACTGGCCATAGACAAGAGGTATTTACTAATCCTGACCCCACTCCCCTACGGATGGCCATGTAGCCTTTTGGTTGAATATAGGTAGACAATTTGCAATCTAGTACTATACACATTTTGAATATGAACTATTAATGTATTCTGTCATTACGACTAAACCTTTATTATAAACAAACCTTCATTTCCTTTTCTCTTGTATTTGAGGAATTTCGTCTAACCAAAAGATACTTAAGTCGAAGATGATCTACTACATTCCCGCCTCCATCCAGCATTGCAAAGAATGATGGGACTGTAGGGTCTGGTAGAAATGAACATGCTAGCACACGCAGCCCATCACCGCCAATCGTGTCTTCATCATAACTATTGTCTTCGTGTTGTTGTTCTGGTTGATAGGGAGCTACATCTATCCAGGAACGCAAYCGTTTTTGACAGCACTGACAACATAACAACATAAAGTCATTGCCACAACAGGGATGGTTACTACTGCTACCAGAAGAAGTCTTAGTATTATATCTACATAAGTGTGCATCTTTCCACACTAGCCTTTCTTACATTACACTATATTTATTTGTTGAGATATTTTCAAATGAGACGTGTATTACAATGTGTGAAGAAGCCAAAAACAAAGCCAAAGAATCTCTATACACAGAGAAATCTAATAGTAAAAAACAACAATAAACAAGGGCAACATTATAGCTACAATCGACAAGAAAAAGAAAGCAAAATCAGCAACAACAATAGAGAATTTTGTCTAAATGCTTACCTTAATAACAAATTGTTTTGCTTCTAATAGTAATTTCGTCTTCAATTCTTTCTCAAAAAAGGGGTACAACATTTTAGTAAAGGCACGAGTTAATGCCTGGTAGCGCTGAGCATTCCACTCTTGTACAAGAAGGCTGAACTCATCCTGCCAAGCAACAGACGTGTGTTAGGAGGGGAAACATTACAACATCAACAAATAAATATCTTATAACAACATTAATTTTAGAAGTGACTCAATAGCTAACTACATAAGCTAAGAAAAGGATTCAACTAAGATTAAGGATTCATGTTTCTATAGTAAGCTAAGAATACACAAAACTATTGCTCACTCTGTGATAAAGTTGCTTTACTTCATCAAAGTATGTTTGATACCTGTGGAGACAGAAGGTGTCATTATGTCGACCATAATTAGAGATAAAGATAATGTAAAAGTATGATAATGATAAAGTATATGATATCAAACCCAAGTAGATAGAACTGTACTGTACTGAATAATGAGATTTCCTATTTAGCACTATATGGTTAGTACTTTATTACACACTTATTTGCACTCTTCAGTATTACAAAATAGCTAAAATTTGTAATCACTTCAAATAATAACTGAAAATAGATTTAAGGTCCCTTTACACTGGTGGTTTTTGTGGCAATTTTTGTTGTCATTTTAATCTCAGAGAGTAATGCTAAAGAATTAACTTGTAAACTTTATTCATTACACTGAGATGAACTAACTAAATGACTAATCAGAAGTATAAGACAAAATCTATTGTATTTTCGAAAATCTCCTGGAAAATGGCAGTAAAAATTGCCAGTGTAAATGGGCCTTTATGAATAAAATAACACACTTTACTTACAACTTAAAAAGATGTAACATGTGCATTTAAATCAATACCAAACTCACCCAGGTCTGTTGTCAAAGTCCATAGATAATGATATAGTTAACATCCCTTCATCTTCAGCTAGAGACAGCTTGAGATACTGATCACCTCTCAAATCCCTGACTGGTTTATTTTTTAGGTATTTGAATGGGAAACATGGATGTGATTCATCTATTTCCTGAAATATTCACAAGAAACCAATATTGATATGATGTTATCCAACTGCCATGTAGTAATAAGTGTGTTTACCTTTTTGCCTTTCTTGGTTGGTGTGACTGTAATCTTGGCCCTTTCACCATAAACTTCTCGTACACACTGTCTTACGAGAGGATCCTTAGCTATCTGCATAGCAACCATATGCCGTGCACCCTCTAACACTTGATCTGTAGTTGGGAACAAACTAGAAGTAGAAGAAACCATTAAAAATAATAATCTATACATTTTATAGATACAGGATGCTCTTTTTTTCTAATTCATTAAGACTAAACTAATACATTTATCTACATGTATATCTCCAATGACTCTGACTATTCCTACATTGCAGCCTTTTGCTGGACAAGATCTTAAATAAAACACTTCTTTTACTATAAGTGCTATGCAGGAAGACTAGACAAAAGTCACAACATACAATTACCAATAAACTGTCTTCAATCAAAACGTTGCTGTTGCTGTTGTTTATGAACCAAATGAACAAAACTCTTTGGTTGACTACAAACAGGATTGTTCACTTTTTGTTCTTATTTTGCAATTTTTTTTACAACTGTAATTTTGAGAATGCCATAGAGGGAGAAAGCCTGAAAACTACAGCTTTCTTCAAAAGATTGCAATAATTATATTCCTGCTACATTTATAAAATTCAAGATCTTTCTAAGTACAAAATGTTGAATTTTCAAGACTTTTTTTCTTGTTTGATGTTTCTGAACATTTCAGTGATGTTGGCAATTCTTGAAAATAGAATGCAGATTGCACCAGATTCAAGGCCTGGATATTCAAAGAATTTGAGCAATTTTCCTTTTTTCATGGGCTAATTCAAGTGTAATTCAATTCCAGGTCACCTTTTCAAGGAGTAGCACTAATGCTGATTTACTAACACTATGCACTAGTACATCAAGTCAAGTACCTGATTTACTAACACTATGTACTAGTACATCAAGTCAAGTACCTGATTTACTAACACTATGTACTAGTACATCAAGTCAAGTACCTGATTTACTAACACTATGTACTAGTACATCAAGTCAAGTACCTGTTAAGGTAACTTTCTGCTGCTTCACCTGGATCCATTGGGTGTTGTTCTGTCTCATGACGCTGGTAGTTATCTCTCAGGTTCTCACCAAACTGATCAGGTGTCAGACCAAACTTTTTAGCCAACCCAGAAAGTCCTTTCAAACAATACAATATTGAATTTGAATTGAGGCTTATATTTCATTGATCTAATTAAGTATGAATTCAGTGATTTAATGCAATCATTAAACATTCTCCTGGGTCATTGAATTAGTTAAATTGTTTTTCYTATGAAGAAGTCTAAATGGGTTCACAAATTTTGTGAAATTAAGGAGTAGTTCACCACTAGTTTCCACCAATTTGTCAATAAAAATATCTAAAAGGTGTTTATAAGAAAATCAAACATTAATAATTTATCATTAGTGCTCATGATAAAGTGTAACAAGTATACATCACAATACCTGCTTCATGGCAAATGGTATACAAATCTCTTTTCCTTGGTTTCTTGAGCTTAGGTGGTTCCACCTTAGGTAAATCATCCTTTTCTTCAGCYTCTGCACCCTCCCTGGCACTCTTTTCTTCTAAAGCTTTCTTTCTTTGTTCCTCTTGCATGGTGGGTATATCATTCCCATAATACAACATGAAGTGACTGTATACATCCTTCAGTTGATCAATGGTTTGAACAGCATCRAGCCTAATAAATATTTATAAGCTATTCATGAGCTAGTAGCCAAGAGATGATAGTCTTGTAGCAATTAATAGGAGTGGACATTTACATCCTTTATTACTATCCTTTATCAAAAGCACTGCTCCCATAACACTATTCAAACAAGAGTTTTTCATATAGTCATTTATGGCCTGATCAGGAACTGGGTCAATACTGTTATCCTGTGAGAAAATGTGTTATACAAACTCCATCCCTTTTTTGTAGTATGATTCTGAATAAAACAAGATTGCATAGATACAAAACAATGTCCAATATTCACCTATCAATGTCTTCTGGCTGCAGTATCCTAGTYTCTTCACTTAATGGCTGTTCACGTTCACTCTCTACTTTACTGAACTGATAGTCTTGCATTTGTTCAAATAGTCTGTGTAAATTCTGCTTTCTTGTGCGCAATTGAGTCCACTAGAACCAATCAAAATACTTCAGATCCATCAGTCAATCATGTGCTTTAACCATGACAGAAATGTTTGGTAAACTATGTCCTACATGTTAATGGAACTGAGAAATACTATACAGCAGGGCCAGGTTGTTCATTGACCTATTAGCACTAATCCTGGTTTAACTCTTAGAAAACCTATAGAGTTACCCTAGTATTAACGGTAATCGGACTTTGAACTTGCCCAGGGTTCTTGGTAGAAAAAAGTTAAATATCTCGTCTAGCCTAGACAAAGCAGCTGGAAGTTCAGTGCTTCTGTATCAACATGAAAAAACAATTTCATCAAAAAAGTACAAAGCAATAACCAATAATATATAATGTCCACTACTAGGAACCCTGGACCATAACAATATATTAMAATATAGCATGATGAGGAGATTAAAAAAATGGATGCATGGATAAAATAATCAGGTTATTCACAATGTTATGATCAAMATCCAAATACCTTTTCATCAAATTCCCAAATTTTCCATAAGTCTTCTGTATTCAGCTCTGGTTCAATGTATTCTTTCCTGTAATTTGCTATGAAAGGAACCTATAGAACAGATASGACTATTATAATATCGATACCAAGGAGATATAACAGAAATAGGCATTTGTGGAAGCTATTGACAAAATGCTAACAAACTAATGAAGGAATTACATGGATTTATATGAAAATCATTACTGAGGACTATGTAGGCTCATTCTTACTAATGTTTTAGGGCATCTTCATTATTTTTCTGTGAAAATTTCAGAACTAATCTTTAGCTTTCATATCTACAATCTGAGTATTTTTCCATGAATATAATAATATTCTAATTAGCAGTGGCTCTTTACTTAACTGTAGAATYATTATTCTGAAATCTTACATTAATTGAATCAACCAAAATAGTTTCAAGATACTATATTCTATGYTACATTTTATTAAATCTTTGTGTTTCAAAGTTCATGAACATGCCCCATACATGTGAACTTTTTAATCAATGCCAACTAACCTCAAACAGCTGGTTTCTCATRAGATTAAGAGCTTCTTGTATCTTGCYAATRGTAGAATGTGGTTTAGTTTGTTTTGTGTCAATGCTGGGAATGCCTTGCTCATCCACATCTTGATGAGATATTGGTTGCTCAAGAAATGCATATTTAAAAATCCATTCTGCTTCTTCCTCTAGCTCTTGTTCTTCAGCTTGCTCAACTGGTACATCTCGAACCTGGAAAACAAGTATCAATATCAATAATGAAGCATTTCATATCATTTTGATTGTTCAAAGTAATTGTATTATGCTTAATAATTATAGTAAAGCGAGTTCTTGTCCTTTTGCTGTGCTGGCTAAATATTCACGTTCATCAAGCAAATTTAATCTATTTCAAGTGTGTAACAACAAGCTTTACAATGATCCTTACCATGTAACATGGTTATCATTATCCAATGTAAAAACACTAAGTATTAACACAAACCCAACTTACCTGAAACCTTTCAGGAATGTCTGATGTTTTGATTTCTGCATCTTTATCAGTCAACATGCCTTTTTCCAGTTCACTTGGCTCAAACACTTCATAAATAGACTTCTTGGAAGCCTTTCGTCTTGCTTTCTTGAGAGCAACTCTCTCATCGTCTTCCTCCTCATAGTCTTCTTCATCTTCATCAAAGTCATCATGACCAAACTTTTCAAACTCATCAAAATCAAAGGCCAATCCAAAAGTATCTTGTGCTTCTTGTAGTGCTCTGAAGTAGTTTAAATATATATTTGTTCATACATGTACAATCAGTCACTCAAACAATTTAATTACACATGACATAAATCAATCACTAACATCACTTGATCAATCAATTAACCAATCAATCAATCAGGATTATTAGTGTTGGGATTAAGACAGTCTGAGTGTTAAAAGAACTGTTGTTGATATCAAAGATTTTAACATACTGGGCACATAAAAATTAAATATAAAAGTAATAAAAAGAACATAAAAATGTTCAGAATAAGAAAACTCACGAATCATGATGCCCGCCAACCATGACCTTTCTCTTTTGGTGGTGATGTTTAATGGGTTTGCCTTCATCATCAACAATAAAGTTATCAAACTCATCTGGAAAAAAATCATGAACATTACTACAACAAGGGTAAAATAGGATAATTACGTATGTGATTGCTTTCAGATATTGAATCAAAAATACATATTATTTACTGTATTTTTGCTTCAAAATGTTGTTTTAATAATTATTGCTGCAATCATTTGTGTTGGATYAATTAATATAGCTATAAAAAATGGTATTTTCAAGTACTTTACCCACATCTTTTCTTATAGGTTTGTCAATGGTTGGATTATTACTTTAACTGACCCAATACTTAATTTACCTGTGGTATTATTGCTGTTGTTGTTAAGTCACACCTTTCAATACAGGTGATCCCAACAGTAGAGGATGAAACAAATTCACCATTGAACTAATGAACTAATAAGTGTCAAACGCTAATTAGTAACTTACCTTCCTCAGATTCTGACTCATCTATGTCTGCATATGTAGAGTCAATAGGTGGGGGAGCTGGTTCTGGAGTAGCCTGAAGAGATAAACAATGCACTTAGTGACATCTTATAAAATACATTGTTAACTGACATTTGGAGTATTTGCATAAATTGAGGTTTACCATTAYCATAATGATTATATAAAAACAGTATAATCAATTAGTCAAGAGCCCAACTATTGGATTGCAATGCTCAAATGATCAATTTTGATTAATCATTAAAATGATCATRCCAACAAAAATACCCCTGAAACTGCTGTAGTAGCTACAATCCCGGTCATAAAGGTTGAGACACATTGATGAAAATAGTGTTTTTATATTTATTTACTACTGAAAAAACCTAATTTAAAYCCCCCTTCCCCCCTAGATCAATGCTGTGAGGCATCAATTATCATTTGTGGTCTTTCATAAACTACATTCATTCAACTTTGTAATGAGGGGAGCGGGGAAGAGGGAATTGTAGGCAATTAAAAGCAACCTCAGCAAAACTCATTAATTTTGGAGTCTAAAWATGGAATGTCTCAACTAGTTTTGACCGGGATTGTAGCTCATCATAAAATATTATTCAGRTGATAAGAATAACATTTGCTTTCAATAATTGCATGACCCTAAACCAGGCTATCAACATCTATCAGTATTTTCAACTATAATCATTATGAGTCTATTATATTTAATCATGCTACTTGAGCTTCATTATGTACACAAAGTTTGAAGCAATCCCTTGGCTGAAATGGTAATGTATGGAATACCCATTTATGAAAAAATGTTTGGGCGACTGCTTCAAAGTTCATATATCTAATGAAGCCCTGTATAATTAGCATATTGTAAGATTGAACCTTAATAACTCAAAGACGCAACATTTCTGTCACAATTTAGTTATTTACTTTGTATATAGAATCAGCTCACAGAGAATAAGAAATTGTTGTGTCAGGCATCATAGGTACTTTAATATCAACATTAATACAAATGACTTACCACCCCTTCATCACCCTCTTCTCTGTCCCCAAGCTCAAACAGCTGATGTTCAATAAACTGTCTTTCACGAATAGGCTCTGCACTCTCAGCCTCTTCATCTTCATCAGAATCAAATGCTTTTACTTTTTTTAGACGATGGAACTTTTTCTAAAACAACAAACATTGAATAACTTTAATCTGCTTTTACCACATTTATGCCTAACTTCAGAAAACCTACAGAACAACAAGCAATGCACTGCAATGTACTGTAGAATACTACTAAACTTTGAGTAAAAAGTATTCTAAGTTAATATTTGTAATGCAAGAGATAAATTGCAGTATAAAAAGTAGAGAAGAAATTCTTACATAATTTTAACTACGTGTAGTTGATAACTTAAAGCTTAACTGAATTATAAGTATATTTGTTCAAATCATATCTTTAGGTGAAAATACTAAGATTACTTATTCTTACATGTGATGTAACGTGTGGCTTAGCAAATATGTGATGTGCAACGAATCATAGTTTACCTTGGGAAGACGTATTCCAAGATTTTCTTGAATCAAATCTAAATCCTCTTCGTCCAATTCTTCATCTGAAGATTGAAAAGATAGAAAATGTCCACGTGCAAAAACATTTGTCACTAGTAAGATACTTAATCTTTCTGACGTACTTCAGATTTGTTCAAATATTCATGGAAATATATCATCTACAAGCAATACCTTTGCTTCTTTTTCTTTTAAGTGAGCTCTCGCCGTCGTCTTCATCGTCGCTTTTGGCGGACTCGCTTTTTTCATCTTCACTCGCTGCACTTTCCTCTTCTTCGTCATTGATCAAATCTGCCAAATTACCACTCAAACTCCTGCCCTCGTTATGCTCCTCTTCTTCTTCTTCTTCACTGGACAGAGACTCATCTAAAGACTCCTCTGCCTCGCTATCTACCAAGTCTGACATGTTTTAAAGAAGTTTAAAATGGTAAAAAGAAGAAATCTTATGGATTAAAGACAAKATGGCGGAAGATCAGGTGAAGATGGCCGTGAAGGACTTGCCACGACTACAAAGGAAAAGGATTGTGGGATTTCTCGTCTTTGGTTAACTCGTGGATAGCTTGTCGTTTTTCTTTGAACAGTGTCTTTGATTTTTCGGGATATTTTCAAGGTCCCCCTCAGTCGTCTCGACAGGGACTATAGTGAATGATAATGAGGATATCTTAGTATTTCCAGAAAGATAATTTTATTCAGAAATAGCACGTCGTACCAAAATGTTCAAATCAAAAATGCATTAATACTAGTTAAATTAAATACTATGTTTAAACAATAGTATTATACCTAAAAGACAAGGAGAGAGGCGGTAACGCCACTTTTATTAATCCGTCCTTGCATAATTAGTATGAATATCAGACACAGTAACATCTTACTCCGCAAGCGAAATATGACTGAGGTATTATTAAGGTACTATAAGTGGTATTCATGACTTACATCACAACCAACCGCATACCAAAATCAATTTATGTTGAGGTAGTGGCTCTGAGCTATATAGAGGGCCAGTGTAGAGACTAGAGACTCCATGCTTTCCTCTCACAACAAATAGTTTTTTACTAATATTATTATACTAGCGTAACAGATTTGGTACGCAGTTTCAAGCACTACACTGCCGCGGCGGCATAAAAGCATCTATACACATTTTCATGATCGACTATTTAGTGTTTGAGCAAGTCATTTTTAACTTTTTTAAAAAAATTGCAACTTTCTTGAAAATGTGCAGTGCACTACTAACAATATACTAAAAATATGTGAAAGAACCCGTGAAGCAGATATAATTAACAGAGTTCGAGTGGACTACGATATGATAGTCCGGCGGGTGAGAAAAGTAGCTCTGTTGGCAGAGTAGAAAGGACGGTTATATAAAAACGATTTTTCTCGACATATCTTCGCTTCATCTACCCTGGTCCCAGAGGGTTTCTCTTCTTTTATAGATGTTTTTTGTTTAGCATTTATCGTAATTTTGTCTTTCTTTTCCTTTTTGTCGTTAAATTCAAAAAGCAAAGACAAAAATACGATAAATACTAAAAAAACATCCATAAAAGAAGAGAAAACCTCTGGAACCAGGGCACGCTTTGGATACGAATGGTCTATCATAAATAGAACATATTTCAGTGGTTTATAAGAGAATGCTGGATATGTGATATGGATATGCGCATGGACTGGTGGATACTAGTACACCTTAGTACTTTTGTTTGTATTTGATACTTTAATAGTCAAATTTTGTTTCACGGTTTTAATGACTTAACTGTAACCCGTTAAATTGTACCAACCTCTTTGTACTATTCTAGATAAATATTGGAGTAAAAGGTGTTCGGTTGCAAATTATATTTATTTGTATTTCACCATGTTTCACTCCCAACGGAGGGAATGATTGCAATACATGCACAAAATAAAACCACATTCACAATGTGAGCAACTGACTATTAGGCTGGCTTTCACTGGACTGTAAAATGGTTACTAACATAATAGACACTAGCAGACCCTAAACCTTTAAAAAGACTTGCTTTCTTTTAGTTCAAATATGGATATTAACACTAATAAGCACTGATTATTGGTAATTGTTTCACAGTAAMGTACAGCGGACAAAAAGCAAGTAGATTCTTGTCATTCTTCAAAACGCAAGTTTATTTTATGCTGCACATAATTAGTATAGTTTTACTGCTTTCAGTGAAACTAATAGACCTATTAGCCCACAATCGCTTGTATGAGCAAGAAGAAGAAACAATGGCTTCAAGTCGAGACTGGAGTTTAATATTTTGTCGAAAACTTTCGCGTTYGTCATAGAGAGTGKGGGATATAGGTCTGTTGATATTGGAATTTCTCTCATTTCTAAAAGAAGAATACCGCTATTTCATAAATACTGTCACACAAAGGTGACTCAGTTTGCCAGTAGCATGTGTAATGTTACACCGAACATCCATTACACTTTTCGACAAAAACACCCGCAAAAACATTACTTCTTTCAGTGCGAAAACTTGCTTTGTTCACACCGATYGAGGTGGGTTTCACAAGCAGCTTTAAGTAAAACATGGCATTGTGTTTTTATCATTGAAAATATAAGCCTGTATGAACTATTTTAACGATTAWATGAAGCATTTCTGAAGCCTTCCTGTTCTTTAAAAGAATTATCACCACAAAGGCWTGGTTATTTTTTGCGTCCATAGTGGATCAGTTCGACGAATTGGCGGCCAATTTGGTAGGATGTTTATACGTAAAGGCATTTTTCCTCCAATGGCGTTGATTATCATTCAATTCACTAGAAAATGAGTATTTAACAATGAACATGAAAMAAAACACCACAACTGCATTATGGGGCATCGAGTGTCAAAAATATAGTAAAAAATTCGATTTCAAAAATATYTCAGGCGCGTGCATGAAGTTCCGAAGCTCGCTAATATTTTCGTGTATTTGTTGACAATTTTATGTACATCTTACTAATTTTTCTCTTTTCAAATTAGGTTGTGGTGAGTTGAATGTCAATTAACGCCTAAATCYACATAAAACATCTTTTCTGTATGTGGTCCCTGCCGTATCGTCGAAAWGGTCCATAATATACGGTACTTTGGACGAAGAATTAAAGTGCGGCATTTCTTTATAGTAGCGGCACTTGTAATTATTATTGACTCGGTATMTACAACACAGGAAGCCCAGTAATATCTTGCTTTGAGCTGTTAGAAAGTCTGCAAGATTAAAAGAAAAGAATTAGTCTATGAAATCTTAGATGTCCCTTATACAAATGAAAATCATTGTCTGGGGTTTATACTCTACAGCTAGCCCGAATTGGAGTATATGCAAAGAAAGCATAAGAAAAGGCCCAAGTACCGGCGATAATGCATCCACTATCATTGCGAAAAAAGATGTATATACATGTATATTATACACTTATTTATTTGGTTTTAAAATGTTATGTGATCTAACTTTCTCTTATTTCATATGTACGTACACACATAGAGGAATTATTTCGATTCTTTCTTGACATTCACACATACTATCACACACAAAAATTTATAGATGAACGCCCAAAGACTGTTAAACAAAAATAAATTGTAAAAAGTCAGTTATACAAAGAGTTATTAAAAAAAATTTTCGAGAACATTTTATAAATTTGCTTATGATGGGTGAGTGCAGGCGGGAACAAGGAAGGACATTGGAATAAATATATTGCCCCGGGGGTGGTAACATTTGCTCACTTTTGTAACAAGCTTTATCCAATTCCCCGCCCCTTCCCGGGTTGGGGGAGGCGGGGATTTACATTGACTGGTGCATTATGCTTCCCAGTGTCTTCTGTATTACCTTTTGTTTTCATGAAATGTTCTGGTCCTATAAAGTACAGGCCACCCAGGATCAATTCTTTAGATTATGAACTCGCGGTGTAGGGTTTTTTTTTTGGTTTGTCGTGAAGTAAAATTTTTCGACGTGCTCCAGACCGATCGTACGGTTCGTACTTCGAAACCGGGACATAGAGCGGATTTGGGAAACGGACGGTACTGTGACTGTAATCGTACTGTAACCAAATTCTTGTGCCCTATTGGCTCACCAAAATTGTGCAGGCCAGGTCCGGTAACTGTGCGGTAACGGTGTCCCACTCATACGAAATCCGCTCTATTTTCAAGAGCCCTTAAAAACGCGTACTCAATTTAAGGGCTTTCCAATGATTTGGTAAGAATCTAAGAAACATGCTTCTTTTAGAATAAAAAATACAAAGATCAAATACGTGTAACTAGCATGACATTTCATTTTATATGGCTGCATATTGGTGCCATTGACTTTATGATATTTGGGTGGCTCCTAAAAGAGCCGTTTGTTTTGTTTGTGTGAAAATCACTTTATTTCTTGGCGGTCTTCTTTGCTGTCTTTTTAGCCGCTGGTTTCTTCCCTGATTTTTTGGCGGCGGGTTTCTTGGCTGCAGCTTTTTTCGCTGGTTTGGCGGCCGCTTTCTTTGGGGTAGTTTTCTTTGCTGCTGGTTTCTTAACCTTCTTTGGACTTTTCTTCGCAGCAGCTTTCTTTGCAGCAGGTTTCTTAGCTGCCTTCTTCGCTGCTGGTTTCTTGGCAGCGGGCTTCTTTGCGGCTGGTTTCTTGGCTGGCTTCTTAGCTGGTTTCTTTTCAACCTTGTCTTTGTTCAGCTTAAACGAACCCGATGCACCCTTGCCTTTAGTGTGTACAATGCTTTCCTTGATAGCCATACGCTTGAGAGTACGTTTGAGTTGAGAATCACAGTTGTCTCCAACCTTGTAGTTGGCTTTGATGTACTTCCCGATGGCTTGTCTGGAGGATCCATTGCGTTCTTTCAATGCCCCAATGGCAGCTTTTACCATCTCATTGTATTTAGGATGTTCAGCAGGCTTTGCTGGTTTCTTAACTTTCTTCGCCGGTGCGTCAGACATCTTTCAAAGACTTTCTTTAGAAATAACAACACGTTCGCTAACAGACTCGAAATGAAGTCAATTTGGCGCCCTGTGTTTATTTATACAGCTCAGCGGACCTCCGTGGAAACAGGATTAGAAAGCAGCAAACCAACATGGCCGACACAGAATGTGTTTGTTGTTCCACTTTGAACGAATATTTCATCTCAACTAGATAACATTTCATTATTTTACTGTTGTAAAACTATTTAAAAACTCAAATAGATAACTATCCCATGTTTTTGTCCATATATTTTCCTTGATAAG